CCGCACGGGTAAGTACAACTTCCCCGCCTATTTCTACCGTGAACCAGTAATGCTTTTCGGCTTTTTTTTTATTTCCTTTGCAGGCAGACGAGCGTACCGTCCACCTGATGGTAAGTGGTTACCGTCGCCCATGGACTTCAGCAATGCCAGGAGCAGAGCCAAGCCGCTGCCTACCGTTAAGTACTCTCCACAAGCCTCGTTTGAAGAGGGATATGTCATAGCGCTCGGGAAACACCCTGGAGGAGAGCTCATTCCATAGCCGTATGGTACGTGGCAAAAAAGACCACTGGAAACGCACTGTGGATGACCGCAGTGGCTCCAGGTAGTATGGATGAGCTCTACTCCGGTGGCGGGCGGTGCGATGGTAAAAGCGAGACGTTGGTTTCATCTCGAACAATTCTTCAGAGCACTCCCCATGGAACATGCGGTACAAAATACAGAGGGAACCGAAGTCCCTCCGCAGACCCAAAGGCTCCAAACGATCCGTGAGGATGGGATTATCGACAATCCGAACAGCTCTCTTCTGTATGGAGTCAAATGGAAGAAGCTCGTATTTGGGAGCCCCGGCCCAGAGATGGGAGCAGTACTCCATGCGACGCCGGACTTGTGCTTTATAGAGCAAAAGTCTTTGTCCAGGCGTGAAGTAGCGCTTCGCTCTGTTGAGGACTCCCAGCATTTTGGACGACAACTTGGCTTTGCTTTCAAAATGACTCAGAAATTGGACATCGCTCGATATGTCGACCCCAAGTGTCCGATACTCTCGGAAGGTTGCAGCGATACTCCTTGGAATTGCGGCGCCATCACAAAGGGGTCCTTCTTCGCAGTGAACGCGCAAACTTGTGTCTTTAACAGGTTGAATTGAACCAAGCTCAATTCACCCCATTCGGAGACTCGCCTCAGAGAGTTCTCCACTTCAGACACAAGTTTTGATCGTCTCTCTTGCACCATGCTCCAAGAGAGACACTGATGGCCGATATATCGCGCATCCCCCGTGCTGTCATCCGCAAAGCAATCCATGCCATCAATAGACGGCATGTCATTAATATAAAGGATGAAAAGCGTGGGGGAGAGCACCGAACCTTGTGGAACGCCAGCGTTAATGGTTATGGTATCAGATCAGTTACCGTCTACAACAACCGTGATGCTCTGCCCATCCAAAAAGCTAGCGATCCACTTGTAGAGACCCTCGGGGATTCCGTAAGATGGTAACTTCGATAGAAGTGCCCTATGCCAGACTCTGTCGAAGGCCTTCGCGATACCAAGGCTCACAGCAAGAGCCTCGCCCTTGCTCTCCAAGGTTTCAGCCCACCTGTGAGTAAGGTATACAAGAAGATCGCCAGCTGAGCGACCGTGACGGAAACCGTACTGTCGGTCACTGATCAGCTGGCGATCCTCCAGATACTTCAGGAGTTGTATATTTATTATTCGCTCGTTCACCTTGGAAGGCAAGAAAGTTATCGCGATAAATGGAAGTTATCGCGATAAGGAAGGTTTGAAGGGTGGGGCAACCGTTGTAACTATACTGAGACCTTAGAACTTATATCTCAAGGTGTGTGGCGCATTTACGTTGTAGATGTCTATGGGTTCCAGTAACCACTCCAGTAACCACCACAGGCAATAAAAAAAAATAAAAAAAATCTTAACGCAACTTAACCTCAAATGTCAACACTGTCATTGTCATTAACTGTCACAATTTCTTGTTTAATTTGTTCAATTGTAATAAAAAATATGTATTTAAATATAATAATAATAATAAAACATAAATTGTACTTTATTTTAATACTATGTACTTTTTTTCGTACTTATGATAACCAATGTACTTTATCTACAAAAAAAGGTAGCAAGCCCTAATTGTAGAGTATGAATAAATCAAGTATTGCTTCATTTAATTAATATGTTGACCAAGCATTCTTCACAATACCGATTTTTTTGTGTTAAATACGGCTTGTCATTACGGAATGGTCACCAGAGCCTATAGGTGAATAACATGAATAACATCATGAACCTTTGCGCTATGACAATGACATGTTCTACTTCAAGCGAGGCTTGTGGAGAGTATTGAATGGTAGGCAGAGGCTTGGCATTGCTGACGTCCATGAGCGACGGTAACCACTCACCATCAAGTGGGTCGTATGCTCGTATGCCTACAAAGGCAATAAAAAAAAATAGCGGCTGCCCCGCCCTTCAAACTGGATCGCATTACTTCCTACGCCAGGATAACGATACCTTTTTTTTTTTTTGTCAGGAGGAAATCTCCGGACTCCCACCCTCCACTGGGGATGGAGGGTGGGGCATGTCGGAGTCGAACCGACTAAAACCTCCTGTCGCTCAACAACCAACGTCCAACCCTCGCATGAGACAGAACTCATGAAAAGGCAAGGGGAGGAGAGTGAAGCGTTTAATGCGTAGCACATCTCTCCCATCACCCTCCCCCTCGGGACGCCAGGCCAGCGATCGTCGGCGCCACGACCACCAGCCCTCTCGGTCGGCAGGCTGTCCGAAGCCCGCCTAGATGGCGCCGGTTTGAATAGGTTATCCTACGAAATACCCCGCTGGGTCAGAACCAGCGTGGGTCGAGGATAGCCGGCCTTCCATTACCCGGATGCTCTTGCGTAAAACGCGTGCAGAGCAGCTTGCACGTCGTCTTCTTAGGCCCCCTTCGCCGGGCCCCAGACCGACATATGAGGGGGACCCGAAACACTTAGAGGGCCAGGGCTAGGGCGAGATCCGCCTCCCTGGCCCCCGCTCGACGGCGGCGGGCTTGTGCGTCTCTCACGCGCCCCGCCGCCTCCTTCTGCGAGATGGTGCACTCGCAGAAGTCGAGCATCGCCTTCCACGACTCGTCGTTGCCGAGCATCGATGCCACAACACTCGGCAACGACAAGTCGTTTCCTATTTTTGCGACAAGGACACGGCGCCACCCCTCCCATGCGGGGCAGGCAACGAGCGTGTGCTCCGCCGTGTCCAAGTCGCAACCACAATGGTAACACTCTGCCGTCGGCTCGGCTCCGATCCGGTGCAGGAACTCACCGAAGCAACCATGCCCAGTGAGCACCTGCGTGAGCCGGAAAGTGAGGCGTCCTCTGTCACGATTCACCCAATCCACAAGAATCGGGCGAATCGCCTCGACGGTCCTACGACCAGCCGAAGGATCGGCCAGCCGCCTGGACCATGACTCCAGCAGGATAACGATACCTAGGTATCATGCATCCAGCTCAAAATACACCCTACCAAGTTTCAAATTACTGTAAATGCAGCCCTGCTCTAACTAAAAAAAACTGGAATCTGATAACAGCGCCCTCTACTGGGTTAATTTGTAAATCGAAATCAATCAAGTAACAACTTGAATCCACATAAAATCAAACCCACAAACACAGCCCACTGGGTTTCTCGCCGGATCTTCTCAGTGGCTCGCGATTCCGATCCGATGGTAGATTCTGCGAAGCACTGCTCTTGCTAGGGGTAGTGGTAGCAAATTCTCTCAGGTTGAGCCAGTGAGCTTATCTACCTGTTCGGGCGTAGCCCTGGAATAGCTCCCTAGGCTACCAGCGAATAGGTAGCGAATAAAAAATAGACACAAAAATTATAAACACCAGTACAAACGTACACAGGAGGAGCTCAGTGAGAAAAACACGTACCTACATAGAATTAGATATATTTGAAGATTATAAATAAATAAGTGTTAACGCCTACGAATTTTTAAGGAGTAATGTACAAAATTTTATTTATGTGTACCGACACCATTTTTACACACTTCAATTCAATATCAGGCGTACAGATTATTGTAATTTAAGATCCTCTGGCCTCGTTTGAATAGGTTAGGCACTATCATATTAATCGTAATCAAAGTGATTTCCTATAAATCTATCTGCCCTTAATCTATACGCTGTTATAAAAATGTAACAGAAGTGTATTTGTTCATTGAAGATTAATAACAAAAAGCTAAGAGACTAACATACTGGTAATTTATGTACTTTTGGCCTGTCATTTTCGGCCAATTTGTGCTGCAACGTAGCCGCCATAAATGACTACCTTGTCGACGTCGCCCTAAACACGTCATTACGGATCCTCCAGATCCATTAACGGTGCTTTTAGGTACCACAAGCACCGGCCACCGTCCTCGTCGAACCCGTCGCTTACGACGAAGTGCTCGACGAGTGAATTAACCCATAGACATTGATTCACATAAAAACAAACCCACGAACACAGCCCACTGAGTTTCTCGCCGGATCTTCTGAGTAGGTCGCGTTTCCGATCCGGTGGTAGATTCTGCGAAGCACTCCTCTTGCTAGGGTCAGTGTTAGCACTACTCCCGGTTAGAGCCCCGTGAGCTCAGCGTCAAGGAGTAGCTGAAATAGTCTCTCAAGGCTATCAGCATAGGTAGGTAAAAAAAATGTGACGAGCATGCAAAAGCAGTGCCTGTCTCTTTATTAATGTTTTCGGGCTTATCTCGAAAACGTCTTTGTGTTTAGTGCAAGTTTTTTTAATGTTCTCGACTCTCATTTGTAGTAATGAAATGAAGACCTCAACAAATTTTCAGTTGTCTCGTAATTTAAGCAAGCTGAAATGCTTTTTTGACTGGGCTAATAAGTTAACTCAAATTTGGATGCTAATTAATATAATAGCCTTTCCACCCTCAATGTACTTAATAAACAATCTGATTCTTATTCTAATCGCCAAATCAACCAATGTCTTATTAAAAACAAGAGAAAGGTAGAGAGAATGGTCAATAGTGATGATGTTCCGGCTTTTTGACCAAACAATCCAAATTCAAGCAGGGCGAAATGGCAGGCACATCTAGTATACTTCGTTTTATCATACTTTTATCATATATCACTGAATATCGACCGTAAATAGGTAGACATATAGATAAAAATGTAACTTGTAATAGTGATTTAAAAAAACCACGTTAAAGTTTACGCTCTCTTGTAACGGAATTCGATTAGCTGGTTCAAAAGTGCGGCCCTTGTTTTTTTTTTCGTAGTGATAAAAACAGCATTATGTCGGTTAAGGTGGCGGAGTCCAAGGAGGTTTGTTAATATTTCATAGTATTTCTTTTTTTTTTATGTTCAAATAATTATTTGTTATTTGTATTATAAAGCAATCCGAGTTTCTCGCGATGAATTTTTTGAACATGAACAAAACTAACCAAAGAACACGCTTTTATTATCATCATCATCATCTGAGCCTATAGCTGTCGACTGCTGAATATAATCGTGAATATAATCTCCAATCGATCTCCGCCTGTATCCAACGTGACCCAGCGATTTTCACTAGGTCGTCGCTCCATCTCGGGGATACCCAGTTGGACTTGTCGTATCTGCAGTACAACTTACATGCTGCGTGGAATTGACAGTTTCTAGCGATAAGATTACCGATCAATGTATGTATCTTGAATGTATTTTTAGTGTACTTTTACTGTTTTTCGACTATCATTTACTCAAAACAAAAATAAAACAAACTTTTTTTGTTGCAATATCTTCGTATAAAGAAGTACTGTAAGTAGTAGTTAGTAGAATTTATTAACTACCATAAAATACGCTAAGCATTATACGTTCCAACGAACGGCTAGCACTGGTTGGACGGGACCACTTCGATAAAGCGGCACGACACGAGAACCCTCTCATCGTGGCCGCCGGTAACTACATTCCTGATCCTGCGGAAAGAATGGAAAGCAGTCGACGTCGCCCAAAACACGTCATTTCGGATCCTCCCGATCCACTAACGGTGCTTTTAGGTACTTCAAGCACCGGTCACCGTTCTCAAGGGTTCGACGCGTAAATTAACCCTCAGACACAGCCCACTGAGTTTCTCGCCGGATCTTCTCAGTGGGTCGCGTTTCCGATCCGCTGGTAGATTCTGCGAAGCACGGCTCTTGCTAGGGTTCGTGTTAGCAACGTCGTCAGGTTTGAGTCCCGTGAGCTCACCTACTAGTTAAGGTTACGCTGGAATAGCCTCTCAAGGCTACCAGCTTAGGCAGGAAAAAAAAAAGGTTGGACGTATTGTAAGCTCGTACGTGTAGGTATCACCATCCTGTCTATTTAAACCGCGAAGCAGTCATGCGTTATGGACTTGAGAATGTTGAAATCGTTATACGATTCACACATAGACATAGTCTCAAGATGGGTGGCGACATTCCCTTAGTGATGTCTGCGTCTACGATTCAATCATTTAATACAATAAAAACGCACATTTTTAGGAGACAGTAGCCCTCAACAATGGGGAGAAGCCTCAAGAAGACATCTTATGTCGTATCATCACGCATGTTGGAGAGATGGGTCTTTACCAGAGGGTTCTCTTCGCGATACTGTTATACTTCGGCGCGATCTTCATGTTTGTCTACTCAGTGCAGATGTTCGTGGCAGCTACACCACAGGAGCACTGGTGTAGGGTTCCGGAGCTGGGGCACTTAGATCAGGAACTAAGGTAGAGCTTACAAGAATAATCGGCTGGTTGATTAAGCTACCACATAAATCATCATGGCGGATCCTTTGGCCAAACCATAATGTGTTGTTCAGTACCACAAAACTTTTTTGATTAGCAATGTCTCGACTAAAAGAAAGTGTCGCATTAGGTGTCCAAAAGCACTTAGTTACTTAGATTTAAGTACAACTAATTATGCTAAGACATTTACATTACATTTACAGGAATGAACTGAAAATAAAGTTACCTATTTAGTTTTATAATTTTTGCATTAAACAGTTAGAAACTACAATTTTATATAGCGTCTATGAAAGATCCAAGCGAGTGGACTACCTTTTTAGTGAGGAAAGTTAACAGGAAGTTCATATTGATGGGGAGGGGGGGGGATTATATTTTTTAGTAAAGTATATAAGGGATCACACCTATTGTTAAGGATGCAGTTGAAGAATATATGATCCACTGTGAAAATTAAATACAAAGATAATAGCATGGGTTATGACTAAAACCATCCACTCACCTGTCAGAATGCCAAGCCAAAATTTATTATAGGAGGAACCTATCCATCCCTGGCGCAGCGCAAGGTCGCGATTGGGATAGATGTCTAATGTACGACGTCAACTGGACTACTGTGTTGGTGAATCTGACTCCACCGGATCCCGGATCGCCGACGAAACCCTGTTATGATGGATGGGAGTTCTTGTTTAACGATATACCCTACGCTACGGTTGTAAGTGAGGTATGGTTAAATATTTTTTCCGAAATGTGTATTAGATTGTGAATATTTTGGCATCAGATTAATTCTGCCTATCTTTACTTCTCCTTGAGTCGATAATCCTCAATACTAAGGGTCGTGGCCTCCTCTAATAACTTTCTCCTGTATTATCCTGCGCCATTCCTGCCTATCTTCCAGCTATAGCTAGATATATATCCAGCTTTTCCAAATTGTCACCTCTTTACACGGCAACTACTGCATGAACTAGACTGTATTTGACCTAATAGTTAAACAAAGTGCCAATCTTTTGACCTTATTTCAATTATTCCTCAAAATTCACTACTCTCTTGTTAACTTGCTATGTTTGAATGAAGTATCTCCTTAACAGAGAGAATGGGTATGTGGAAAAGCAAGCTACGTGCCTATAGCTCAGGCAATATTCTTCTTTGGCTCGCTTATCGGCTGTATCCTGTTCGGTTGGATTGGAGACTTGTACGGAAGAGTTCCTGCTATTGTAGGTATTGGATTTAAGTTTATTTTTATTTTTATTATTATTACATATTATATCGGCGCAACCCTGCTATTTAGTTAACTAAGATGGTAATAGTTGTTTCCTCAATGTTAAAATTGTTGGATAACTGTTTATAAGTCCAACGAAAGACAACAATTGTTTCAAAAACAACAGCATTGAATTGTGTCAGCAACGCTGACGTCATCATTTTAAAAACACCATGGAACTAGCCAATAGAACAGATAATCTTATAACGCCACGTGTATTTTTCATGGTTTTTTTTATTACATAGATGGGTGGACGAGTTCACAGCCCACCTGGTGTTAAGTGGTTACCGAAGCCCATAGACAACTACAACGTAAATGCTGCCACCCACCTTGAGATATGAGTTTTTAAGATCTCAATATACTTATAGTTACAACGGGCGCCCCACCCTTCAAACCACCGAAACGCATTATTGTTTCACGGCAGAAATAGGTAGGGTGGTGGTACCAACCCGTGCGGACTCACAAGAGGTCCTACCACCGGTAAACAAGAGGTCCTAACACCAGTAGTTTCTTTTGTTTGTTTTAAATAGGTTCAAATCTTATCGGATGCGTGGGTGGAGTTGCGAGTTGTTTCACAGTTGGATTGTGGGACTTCGCATTCTGTCGGTTCCTCGTGGGATTGTCGAATGATTGCTGTTTCATTATGGTGTATATTTTAGGTGAGTAAGCTATTAATTTACCTTGTAGGAATCGAAGATTTCCCATCTTTATATGTAACGAATTGCGGTTCCAAATGTAATAGGAATGGGAAAAAAGGCATTTGTTAATAAAATTATAAAAAAAAACGTGCTGTAGAAGGACCGCCGTATCGTAAAAAAGCAGGCAGCTTAATTTATGATTTCGAAAAAAATAAAAATTATGAAAAGAGTATCGAACTGCAAAATTTTAAATTACATAAAAAAATCGATTGTGAGTTTAAAAGTGTATGTTTTAATATATTGTGTTGATGAAATTCTATTTACTAGTGGTCCCCTGGTAGTCGAAATTCGACTTTAACTAACTGAAATGATAAGTTTGTACACTATTATGATTCTATTGTCAAAGACTTACTATACTTCTTTTAATCACAGATTTCGTCAATACTAAGTGTACAGTTTAGACAAATATTAATAAAGACAAAACAATATTTAATCTATTCTCAATTTGACAAACGATAACTGACAGACCGCAATAAGAAAAGTTTGACAATAAATGAATAAACAAATAGTATGCATGCGTGTGTGTGTCAAATACATGGCAGTGTGTGTAATGTTTTTTTTATTGATTATAGTATTATTTATGCATAATTTAAAAAAATATTAGCATTCTGCACTCCTTCTCTATATTCTCTATAAGTGTGGGAAATTTCATACTTCTCCGTCCGCGCAATTTTCGTAAAAAGGGGAACAAAGTTTATGCTTCACGTATTAATATATTCTATTTATGACTGAATCAGGACATAAGGCTTTTTCGTTACGTGATGATTTTGAACTGTCAAACCCTACTACAAGCTGCTTACGCTCGTGTAGAATGCCTAGAATATTGAGGCGACAAATAGTTTATTTCAATTCTTCAGTATTAGAATACGTGGGGACGAAACATCGTACTTGGGTGTCTAATATGTCCTTTGCGATCTCTGGCTGCGTTGGAGCCACAATGCTGCCAATATTGGCGCTTTGGCTGCTAGATTGGCGGAAGCTGTTGTTGGTGACATCTCTGCCAATGTTGGCTGCTTTGGCCATACCTTGGATAGTTCCAGAGAATGCCAGGTGAGTTAAAAAGGGAATTGGTAACGACCTATTCAAAATAGTTTGGTTTTGTATAAGCAGTTTGCTTATCTGTTTGTGATATCAAAAAAAACTTAAAGTTGAAATGAGTAGTACTTCACATATTCTACGGTCTACACTTTAGGCCTCGCCACGCTTTTTTTTACAATAAAATCATTTTTTCTTACACTATTTGTAATTCAAATTTATTAAAATGTATTTTCTCTTTTTTAGTTGGATTTTCTGTAAAAGCGTATTTTGTTTTTTTTTTTTTATTATTATTTATTTTTCATTTTTTAGTTGAATTTCAATTTTTTCAATTATTATTTTTCCGTTTTTTTTAAATATTGAATTGTCATCGGTCCTTAATAAGTATACCAAATTTCGAGTTAATCCGAAGTTTTGAGGGGGGTCAAAAACATGTTCAAAGATTCCGTTACATACTAACATACATACGTCTGAAGCTAATAAAAGCGTATTATAAAACGCGAGATTATACCGTAAAACCTATTTTAATTATTTTTTTTATTGCTTTTGTAGGCAGACGCACACTGCCCACCTGATAATAAGTGGTCACCGTCGCTCATGGACGTCAGCAATGCCAGGGGCAGAGCCAAGCCGCTGCCTACCATAAAGTGCTCTCCGCAAGCCTCGTTTGAAGAAGGACATGTCATAGCGCTCGGAAAACACCGTGGAGGGGAGTTCATTCCAAAGCCGGATGGTACGTGGCAAAAAAGATATTTGGAAACGCACTGTCGATGAACGCAGCGGTTCCAGATAATATGGATGAACTTTGCTCCGATGGCGGAAGGTGCGATGATAAAAAGGAGATGAGAGGACCAACTCGAATAATTCCTCAGAGCATTCCCCATGGACCATACGGTATAAAACACAGAGAGAACCGAAGTCCCTCCGTAGACCCAGAGGTTCCAAGCGATCCGCGAGAGCAGGACTATCGACCATCCGAACAGCCCGTTTCTGTATGGAGTCAAATGGAAGTAGCTGGTATTTGGGAGCCCCGGCCCAGAGGTGAGAGCAGTACTCCACGNAAGCGATCCGCGAGAGCAGGACTATCGACCATCCGAACAGCCCGTTTCTGTATGGAGTCAAATGGAAGTAGCTGGTATTTGGGAGCCCCGGCCCAGAGGTGAGAGCAGTACTCCACGCGAGGTCGGACCTGCGCTTTATAAAGCGCAAGTCTCTGTCCAGGCGTGAAATACCGCTTCGCTCTGTTGAGGACTCCCAACATTTATTCCTCAGATTGACAGCAGTTCTCATTTTATTATACCAAGCTGCCAAAATCGGTATATTTTAATTATTGCTGTGCAGAGAACGGATGTTATGTAATGGTAGTAGTCATAGTAGTACCGGAGTCCATAGATAGTACAATATGAATACTACGTGTCTTGAGGCCCAAATTCGAAGTCTTCTTCTACTCTTAAAACCGGTACTTCTCTTCGGGAATTACTCCGCGGCGAAAATAGGCAAGATTGCCTTAAGCCAATAAAAAAATTCACACTATAAATTCGGTTGGCAGTGGCTTGGCTCTGCCCCTGACATTGCTGAAGTCCATGGGCGACGGTAACCACTCACCATCAGGTGGGCCGTGTGGTCGTCTGCCTACAAAGGCAATAAAAATAATAATAATAAAAAAACTTGAATCAACCTCGTGGTCGCAGATGGTTATCGGCATCAGGGAAAGTAGACCGCGCCATCAGCGTGCTCAGGAGATTCGAGAGTGTAAACAAAAGAAGGATACCCGACGATGCGATAGAAGAATTTATTGTAAGTCTATATAATTGTAAGTATTTACTGATAGTAGGACCTCTTGTGAGTCCGCGCGGGTAGGTAGGTACCACCGTCCTGCCTATTTCTGTCGTGAAGCACTAATGCGTTTCGATTTGAAGGGTAGGGCAGCCGGTGTAACTATACTGAGATATTATTAGAAATTATATCTTAGGGTGGGTGGCGCATTTACGTTGTAGATGTCTATGGGCTCCAGGAACCATTTAACGCTAGGTGGGCTGTGATCTCATCCACTTATCTAAGCAATAAAAAAAAGTCTATTATATTGGTCGTATCCACGTATTTTCAAACCAATTTAAAACATCGATATTATTTTCTCATAGATAGTTTCGAACAACAAGCAAGAAACGGACGAATCTCTAATAGGACTGTTCAAAAGTCCACCGATGAGGTCGAGCATTATGGTTCTGATCTTAGTTTCTATGATGAGCGGGGTGACCATTGACGCGCTGATCAGGCTCTCTGAGAATATAGGGGATAATTTCTACTTGACTTTCACGCTATCATCGATATCTGAAGCTCCTGCCCTGATCATAGTCACGCTATTGCTGGACAGGTAAGGCTTTTGAAGATATTTCATTATCAGTTGTGTTCTTCATGGGATGATTGCGTTCTTCCATAGCGAGTTTCGCAATTTGGGTTTAGAATTCATCCCTTAATGAAAAATGAAATTAAAAGTTAAATTAAACTACAATTTGTACAACCAGGCGTACACCCTTAAGAACATATGTCAGAAACACTGAAACCGCTATTTTCTCTTTATAAATAGAATTTGTCTTTTTAAGATCAAGCACGGGAGACTTAGCTACAAACCCTATGAAACAATTTTCAACTCGAAGGACCAGTAATTAGGGCCTAGCAGGACTTGAGTTCATTAAACCCAGTGGACTGTAATTTTATATGAAGATTAAATGCTTGTTTGGATCAACAACAGCAGATGCTGCAATATGATTGATCGTGTACAATAAATAATATGATCTGTTAGATTGCAGCCCCAGTGTCTGTCTGGTCCTTGATAGGGAAAACAACATGGATAAGATTTAATACAATATATTTTATTTACAGAGTAGGACGACGTTGCATGATTTCGAGCACACTGCTACTCACTACTGTTCTCTGTTTCGCCTGTGCATTCGTGCCAAAAGGTACTTACTTAGTAAATAAATGTTTATTTAACCCTAAAGTTGTCGTGTCCTAATTACTAAGACTGCCGGTGTAGGCACTCATATCCCTGCGACCATATTTGGACACAAATCCCACAGCCAAGTACCAGTTTATTAAAATTAATGAGCGATTTCACGATGCATGACATCGTGTTATGAAAACGAGAGGAGTCTCCATTCACTCCGCCCATTTTATGATTCCTTTAGTTATTTTAGTACTGACTTTTTAGTCTTTATTGAATCATTGCTTATACACGAAAAAGATAGACCAAAAGGCACTCTTAACTGCAGGCAGTGGCTTGGCTCTGCCCCTGGCATTGCTGACGTCCATGAGCATCGGTACCTAACCATTTTCCACCAGGTGGGTCGCGTGCTCGTCTGTCAACACGGGCAAAAAAAAAATAAAAAAATAGTATATTACGCACCGAAGGAGAAAAGTAAGACATTCACGTCCGCGAATTGTTGTTGCTGTTGTTGTTGACAATCGCGGATGGGCATGTTCTACTTTTCTCCCTAGGTGCTTATACATTTTTTTCAACCGGAATGAAAATTTCGCTTTTAGTCCCTGGCACGCGGGACAAAAGTACCCGATTCTCTCCCGGTGCGTATGTAGTCTCACCGGTCTCAATCGGGTACTTTTGTCCCGCGTGCCAGGGACTAAAAGCGAACTTTTCATCCCGGGGGAAAATAAAAAAAGATAAATTGTACCGAAAATTCATTGCGTTTTTTCATAAAATTTCTGTTGTTCCTTAGGTGTTTCACAAATGATCGCGGCAGTTCTGAGCAGGTTCGCAGTGAATATGTCGATAAGTGTGCAAGTGCAGTTGGGAACTGAATTGCTGCCGACTCCCGTGCGTGCCACGGGGACCTCCTTATTACACGTCACCGCTTTCTTCGCAACGGCATTCTCACCATTTGTCGTATATACTGTAAGTATATGTGTGCGACCATTGCGACTGCGGGACCATTTTTGAGGAACATCCAGCCAGTGCGTATGAGGCCTGTTAGTCCTCACATAGAACCGCCTAATTCTGCGGTGAAGCAGTAATGCGTTTCGGCTTGAAGGGTGGGGCAGCCGTTGTAACTACACAGTTTGCTTAGTGCGAGTTTCTTAACGTTCTCGATAACGTAAAAGTTAGCTCATATTTGTATGGAATAGGATCGTTTGCCTACGTTTGCCGCTAGGGGCGCTGTTCCAACTGCATACAAAATTGGGTTAACTTTTACGCTATCGAAAACGTTAAAAAAGTTGCACTAAGCACACTGAGACCTTAAAACACTCTCAAGGTGGGCAGCGCATTCATGTTGTAAATGTCTATAGGCTCCACTAACCACTTAACACCAGGTGGGCCGTGAGCTCGTCCACCTATCTAAGCAATAAATAAAATAAAATAAAACCGTTTTGGAAGATATCCACACTCATGGGAATGTGAAGACAGTCGCCTCTCACATCAAAATAACCCGAATCTAACTGCCACACTATAGATCAGTCGCGCATGGGACTTTTTAAACCACATATCGCAGTAAAAGCGTAAGTATTATTTAAAACCTGCAAAAAAGTCGTTTTATTGTGGATAACATTGCACTCATGAATCTGTACTTTAATAGATCGTTAACGATTAAATTATTATTTTATTGTTTAATTCAAAAATTATATACACTAAATCCAATCTCAACTTTCCAAAGTTAGCTCGTCGATTAAAATTAAAATGGTTGTTTGATAATCTTTCCAGGGCCGATACTGGAGGCCGCTGCCGCTGTTCATTCTCGTCGGATTAACGCTGTTCGCGTGCGGCTTGGCTTTGTTGCTCCCCGAAACCAAAGGTCGGCCTATGCCGCAGACCATAGTCGAAGGAGAGAAAGTCGTGAATGAAACTCTGCTGTGTCGGTTAGTTATCATTTCGACTGTCAATTAAATGTGTTTACAAGTAATCGATCGCTTCGTTAGCCACTAGTCTCTTACACTGTGTGCTTAGTGTGAGTTTTTTAATGTTCTCGATAGCGTAAAAGTAACTCAAATTTGTATGCAGTCGGAACAGCGCCCCCTAGCGGCAAACGTTCACGCTAACTTTCACGCTATCGAGAAGGTTAAAAAACTCTCACTAAACGCACTGGGCCTGGGTTCTGTGGCACGGGATTCGGATCAGAGTTCAAGAAACGTAGCGTTCAGAGTTATTTAAACAAAAATTCCGACCGGTTATAGTAAGAACTAGATATGTGTCGTTCGTTCAATTTTAGAGATTCAGATCAGTACTGACCTGTTGACAAAATGATCCGGTTCGTACGACCCGTTCAGTCGAACGTTCAGTTTAAAGGAACTGTTATATTTTTTTTTTTTTTTTTTTTTTTTTTGGTTTCATGTGTNTCCGACTCCGGCACGACGACCGCACGACAGGATTTTACACCGGTTGGCGGGACAGCTTCCCGGGGCGGAGTTTAGTAGTGACACCCGGGTTCAGGTCCCCTACTGACCGGCGGGCGGCGGCGAACACCGTTTCACTGGGTCTCCCTATACCCCTGTCAAACAATCACGTCCCGCAAGCTCGCGCGCACGTCTGATCCGCATGTTCCAGGTGTCATCAAGATTCACCCCCAACAAGGAAGAGGAAAGGAAAGGAATAAAACTGGCTCTCCAACCCACACACCGGAACACAGCTAGGCTATTTGGCGGCGGACTCTAGTTGGAGGGTGGTCGCCAGCCAGTCGGACTAGTCCTACCACCGATTATGTTTTCGGCTCCCGTTTAGCACCACCCAGGGGTCACTTGTAGGGAATCGCGGGTTAAACCTACGGAAGCGGGAAGCAATCGACCCCCATGTTATAGTTCGATTGTTTACGTGAGATCAAAACAATTCAAATGCGTTATGCGTCATTATGTGACAACGAACGAATAAACGAGACGGGCGCGGTGCGAGACGCGGCAACCCGACATGACCCGAATGACTTTCGTATGGTTATTTTCTTCTGATTCGTAGGTTTTGTTAAACGAGTCGATCTAGTGAACGACTCATATTTTTTGAAGTGACCCTATCGTTCGCGCGGATTTTGAGACCCGGGTCGTTTGATTCGTTCGTTCGCGAACGACACATATCTAGTAAGAACAGCCATGGATTACTAGTATAATAATATCGCACATACGGTGCTATAAAGTCACTTATGCAATTTTTGTTAACACTGAACTGAGTAAGACAAAATAGGTACATTTTTAAATAGTTATTAGTGAGATGAGAGGTTTGCTTTTACTGATGAAATTTAAAGTTGTAGTTTAAATTCTATTTTATTTCTATAGTCTAGCAGAACTATATAAGAATTATAGTATAATAAGATGTTGAATTTTCCAACGTTTCCCATGAAGAAATTACATAATTAGCATAAGTGACGTTATCGCACCGTATGTGCGATATAACAAACACGAGAGTGGCTTTTGTTTAATTATTACAATTTTTTAAGTTTTAATGAATCAATCGAGCATCATCAGCTATCACATATTGCTGTCAGAGGTACAGAAAAATTATAAAGCACGTCAAACGATAGCAAAAGATTCCATCATAGAAATAAGTACTATTGCAGACTTTTTCATGTTAACGAAAAGTACCTATGCCACTCATAAAGTGCAGTTAGACGTTGCCTTTAGAAAATGTGTCGATTTTCATATCTTTTCCGCACAGGAAACCAGCAAATGATGAAGAATTAGAAGACTTGTCGCATTTAAGAAGATCTGTTGAATAAAGATGTAAACGAAAATGGTTTTGTTTCCACTAAGTGTGATACAACTGAACATGTATCACAGTTTCATGATAGGGCCTCCAAAAATCTTCAGCCGTAAATTTGTTATTATTGCATCGATTTCAATGATTCATTTTGTATTTAGTTCACTGTGATCCCAAATGGTGTCTTTTGTTGGAATCACCTAATCTAAAAACGTATTTAATTCGCAGTGTTTTTTATTTATGACTAGCTGACCCGGCAGACTTTGTAGTTCATTAATCGATAAACAAAAGACCTAAACTTTTTTATAAAATAAACTTAAAAAAAACAAAAGGAATCCGTCCGAGAGGGGACACATCAAAGGAAAAACATAATTGTTATTTTTATTTAATTCCGAGCATTTTCATATTTATCTAGTTTTCTCTTCTCTGGGCTTCCACAAATAATTCAAGACCAAAATTGTCCAAACCGGTCCAGCCGTTCTTGGGTTTTAGCGAGACTAACGAACAGCAATTCATTTTTATATATTTAAATAGATAAATAGATTACATGTAGACTCCGGAGCTTTATCACTTGAGAGTATGAAGAGAACGTACGCGAAGCTAAAACGCAAATAAACTACTGTCTTAAGCTTACGGTAAACATTATTCAGTTACTAAACTAGCCATGAATAATTTTGTAGACATTCAATGTAACGTAAACCCTATTTAATTTTTCTAATTTTTCTAGACGGTACTTTATATTGTTACGCGCTGGGGTTCAGGATAAATAAAAATTTCCACCAAAGTACAAGTTAACACTGTATTCAACACATACTTGGATGTGTTTGTGAAGTATTCACAAACACTTAAAATTCTCAATTCGCTTCTTCCGCTTCGCTTCAGGTGATCCGTTCGCTATTTCGCTTCGAGTAGTTCCGATTACTGACTGACTGCGTGCCATCCCTACAACGGTTTTACAGCCACATCCACTTATCGAGAATATTCCACACATCTCTAGTATTGTGTTTCCACTATCTGACTATAGATGGCATTGCATTTATCGAGCGTTCTAGGTGCTACTATATCCTTTCATATTCGTTCGACTATTCGGCGATAGATGGCGTTACTCTTACCGGCGTAACAATATTATCCAGATAAAAATATCAGCTCTTAAGTACTTACCAAGAACGAAGAAATATGAACCGTTTATAAGAAAGCTCGCTCGATCGAATTTAGGTGCTTACTCTCCCATATACAGAATCCTTTGGGACTACAATAATGTCCACGGTAGCGCGGTCTCCGTCAATGTTCATTCGGAGTTGTCCGATGGCGCTGAACTAATTTTAAGTGATGGAATAAATGTTTTTTCTAATTGTCTCACAACTTGCAGGAAAGATCTGTCGCGGATAATTTCCCAATTAAATATAAATTAATCTTAAACAATCAACCAAACGTAATCAAGTTTGTTACATTTTTTTTATTTTTGTTATTAATGCCGTGTCGATTGCACCTATAATTGAGGTTACATCTGCCATGTACTTTTGTCAGTTTGTCAATGTTTTATATTGATGATCACTTTGTTGGTGCAACTTAATCTATACTAATATATAAATCTACAGTGGTTTTTACGGATGTTCTATTATAACTACTGAACCATGCATCCGATTGACTTGAAACATAGTATCCGTGTAGAAAATACATGTACTTAATGGATAGGCTAATGTTTATATGAGTGTAGGACTCCCTACACCAGTTGCGGGGGCGTTGATGATGAGAATCTTTGTGAGGGTGAGAAATAATAACGTTAATTTTAAATGCCCAGCGAAGCGGACGGGTACAGCTAGTAAATAAATAAGTATGATATTGAGTGCAGTCCAAATTACCTAAGAAATCAGAAATCATCTAGGCAATAAAAAAAAAATCATCGAATATTTTTCATTGTGGTTTCGCTGTTTGTTTATAAAAACGATTCTAACACACCCTGTATAAACAAGCATATATTCAACTTACAGTGATATTTCTAATTGTGTTATAACAGAGTGTGATTTCGTATTGTGGCAGTGTGTTCCAAAGTGGCACGTTATGATGACTGAGTCGAGAGCTCATTTGCCTATTTAGAAAAAAAATATTAAAAAAAGTTTAGACGAACGCCTCAAATAAAAACCTCCTGTACGTAACAACAGTATTTACGATGTTTCCAATAAAACAATTAATACGTTAATTCATCTTTTATTTATTTAAAAAATGCCTACGTAAAATCAAGAACGTGTATTCACAAAACAAATCGAGGGGTGAAAGGCTTATTTGGTTTAAACGACATTTTTGGAAATTTACAGGAGAACCATTTAAAGTTTTAAATTTGAAAAAAAAATTATCATAACAAAAAAACTTCTTCGGCTATTTGAATGGATTAAACTTAATTGAAGTTTAATTAAAAACATTGAACTGTTGATGTTACTACCAAATAAAACGGTCTTTTAATTACAAAGGTAAATGTCGCGTGTTAAGCGAAATGTCGCTTAACACGTCTACTACCGCGTAGATCACCGGCGCCCTACGCGACGCACTAAAGTAATTATGTCGATTTCTGTCTTCGATCTTCTTACTAAAGCGCCGGAATACCTAGTAGACTTTAGGGAAGATGAATCCGAAGATACTAAGAAACAGATTAAAAAAACAAGGCAAAGGTAATCAGGTTAGGTAATCCAGGCGCTTAGTAACAGAAACCCTTGTTTTTTTTTCTTATATGGGTGGACGAGCTCACAGCTCACATTACTGCTTCACGGCAGAAATAGGCGGGATGGTGGTACCTACTCGTGTAAATTCACAAGAGGTGCTACCACGTAATTACTTCAGTGCGCCGCGTAGGGCACCGGTGACCTACATGGCAGTCTAAGGATTCAACTAAATATCCTTTCGCCTCTCGATATATATATGTATATATTGCGGGATCATTTAATGCTGAGATACATTTTCCCGTTGATGTTCTGCTTCAAAGGGTTGATCCTCTTCAGTATCTGTGTCATGGTTTCGACCAAGCGCTCGCTGCTGACTCCGGTGCGTTTCGATTTGAACTTGGTGAGCAGCTCAGTCGTGGTCATCGGCTTCCTCGCCAGGTACCTCCGCACAGCCTCTTCCGTCACCCCGCATTCGCTGCACAAACAAAAAAAATATATAGTTTAAAAAAACTAACAAAACACGCTTTTATAGAAAATTCAATTAAAAAATAGAAAATAAATAAGCAACTTCTCGGGATCCTCCAAAAAGTCAACTGAAAAATCTCAGTAAATTACCACCATTTTACTGAGATTATATTTTATCCCATATCGTCTCATCTCATTTCATTTAATTTCATCCCAGTTGATTAATGTATCAAATTAATCACCTTCATTTCATTTCATTTTACTCCATATTATCATTTTTCATAAAAATAAGAATATAAATTAAAATAAAAGATGACCAACGGCCGTCTGGTGTAGTGGTAAGTGACATGGTCACTACACAAGGGGGTCGCGGGTTCGAATCCCGCCAAGGGAAGATATTTGTATGATAAATGTCTTTTCCAGGGTTATGGTTGTATATTAAATATATGTATGTGTATAATAAAAATCTTATATTTATTTCCGTTATCTGGTACCTGTAACACAAGTTCTTTACGAACTTATCACGGGACCAGTTAACGTGGCATGATTGTTAGTAAATATTTATATTTATTTATTTATTACCTAAAAGTCTTAGTTACCAGGTCATAAAATCCCATAAAAAAAAGTATATCGAGTGACACTAACGTGTACGAGGCGTCGAGCTTGGGTCTCTTGCTGGGCGGTTGCTGCGCGCTCGCCGCCGCCGCCGCCGCCACCGCCGCCGCCGCCGCGCTGGGCGCCGCCGCCTCCCCGCCCGCAGCCCCCGCCCCGCCGCCGCCCGCTACACCACGGACATCGCGTATATACAGATAGCTGTCACTGTCTTGCCCTAAACACGTCATTACGGATCCTCCCGATCCATTAACGGCGCTTTTAGGTACCTCAAGCACCGGTCACCGTTCTACCCATAGACGCAGCCCACTGAGTTACTCGCCGGATCTTCTCAGTGGGTCACGATTCCAATCCTGTGGTAGATTCTGCGAAGCACTGCTTTTGCTCTCGTTAAATTACAGGGTGTTACTTTTCCAAAAGTTTCGTAAATAAAAACGGCATGAAACAAATGCGACCCACTGAGAAGATCCGGCGAGAAACTCAGTGGGCTGTGTCTGAGGGTTAGTTCGCTCGTCGAGCTCTTCATCGTAATCGACGAAGATGGTGACCGGTGCTTGAGAAGCCTAAAATCACCAAGAAAGAGTAAACCGTCCGGTTGTGATAAAACTTGATGAAGTTGTTAAAGCTACAGAGAAATTGTCTGAACTTCAAATAGTAAAAGTGGGGGGAAGGCTCTCTAGTACACGATATTTTCCATCTTATTAAAGATCGTCACAGAGGAGCAGTGTTCGCTGGCTACTGGTAAATAGTAATATGAGCGCGACCTGCTCCCGAAGCGCCGGCAGCCGCGTTCTTGTCGACATTCTTACTCTTCTTCGGCTTCTTAGTGTTGCCAGCCTCGGGCTCCGTGTCAGAGTCAGAGCTGAAGTCGCTGCTCGAATCTAAAAACGGAAATGTAATTATATTTTTATTAACCTTTATTTCAGTAAAAAAAAACAATTTGTTAGTATTACATATAATCTATGTTTAGTAACTTAAAAACATAACACTGATATATAACTTTATGTATAGTGATTATCTTAATATATATAAATCACGTGTCACGTTGTTTGTCCGCGATGGACTCCTAAACTACTTATCCGATTTTAAATTAAATTTGCACACCGTGTGCAGTTTGATCCAACTTGAAAGATAGAATGGTTTTTATTTCGATTAACGGTCGCCATATTTATTAATTGACAATAAAATGATTTCTTATGTTGATTTTTGTTATTAATTGCAAGTTTCATAAGTCTAAAACCGATGGCGCCTTAAATCATTTTTTACAGCAATTGTAATACTGTCTGACATTATTATCTCATAGATGGCGCTGTATTAAAAATAGCAACGTTTCACATAAGTTACAATTTAATGGCATAAACACCACGTGTTGCTGAGGCTAAAGTATAAGTGAAATTTATTTCATAGTAAACGCAATACAGTGAAATCCAATTGTTCTTACTTTGTCAATTTTTGGTATTAGCATAGCCTGACGCGTGCTATTTAGAAACAAAAACCTTAGCCACAGCAACGTGAGGCCGGGTCTATTAATACTTTTCATAAAATCCAAATTCAATCACACAAATTTGTCTTAAGTTTTTTTGCTTATTCAACGCCCAGGAGAGTAGATTGATTGAAAGAACAATAGGACATAATTCTTTATTATGTGTGAATTGTTTAAAATTTGTTTTAAACAGTGACCGGAGCCCACACCCTGTACTCCGCGATCAACCAGTTCGAAATGATACCTTTTTTTGTTTCGTCAGTTTTCTTCTTTTTCTTGGTGAGCTTGCTGGCTCTCTCTTCGCCTTCCTTAGTGGGCTCGTCCTCGTGTTCAGACTCCTGTTTCTGCTCCTGCTCCTCTTCGGAGTCTTCGTCGGACGTCAGCAGTTTCCTGGATGGGGAGTCAGCCAGCTTTAGTCAATCATGGCGATTACCAACGCTTATACAATGGGCATATTTTTTTTGTTCTTTTTTTAGATTGAAAAAACATTTCGATGCATAATATAGCTGATTACCGAAAATAATTTTTTTTTATGAAACAAAAAATCTTTCAGTTATAAGCTGCGCCAAGCCGATCAAGCGCTGTCACTCTAAACTATTGCTGTCTTTTTAGTCGCACACGGCGCGTACTGCATGCAAAAAAAATATCATTTCTGACTAGTAAATAATATGGCCTCTCACTAACGAGGAAAAGTGCTTCACAGTGATGCACGCGAAATCGTGTATAACGTTATTAAATACTTTGAAGAGGAAAATGATCTCGAGAAATTAAAGAAAAGAAATTCTCATTTGTTTTTTTATATTTTTTTACAATAAACAACTTTTTCTTTTTATCTCTCTTTTTATTTGTTGACCCTACCATCTGTCAGTGCACATATACGCCATTTTCGATTCTTTCTTTATTGGCGCGGCTTATACCAATATTTTTAATTGATTTTTTACCTTTGTTTGTCTGCAAATGGCTTTATTGAAACGGATACTTTAGCCTATATTTTTATATACTCTGGTACTAATCAAATGTCACTCTAGTTATGAACTTATTGATAATCTCAAAACACTCTTCCAATTTCAACTGTAATACAGGTTGTCATGACTTGAACAATTTTAATAATCTATTAATGTGGTGTAAATCAATACGAATACATATGTTTATAGCAATATTGTACGCAGTGAGTAGAAAAAAATAAAATTGTTTATTAGATGAACGGGTGACATTGATAGATAACATCAAAGGAATACTCTGTGACAGGTTTTTTTTTTTGAGACAATGGCTTCCCTTTCTTTAGGCCACTGTTTAAGTCAACATGACATGATACGAGACCTTGAAAGCGTTGATAATATAAATTAATTCTTAAAAAAGAATGACAGTGAATGTTTGAGAAATATTCAATTTGATCTTTAAAAAATTTGGTCTATATTAAAAATTTTATTTTATTAGGTTTCAATTTGACCTATCTGTAATGTGGTTATGTGTCAGTTTATACGTCGCGTCTTTAATTGCTTACCTGAGCGCGTCTTCTTCTGCCACTCCTTTGAGTTCCTTATTAGTTTTAGTTTCGTGGTCCGATTCGCTGCAACATACATTATCGAATATATAAATAGCTAAAAATTCTGTTTGTTGAAATGAATACTTTTTTACTGTAGATGAAATTTGAAATACTACGAAACGGAAATGCGATTAAGAAGAGAATTAGTAAGAACATAATATACGTGTTTCTTTCATTCGCACGTTATTATGTTATTAATCCGGCTTAGCTGAAACTTGATAGAATAGCGCCGGCAGTTGTTATTAACAAATTACTATTTCGTACAATTTTATTTGGATACTACCTCGACTAATAAGAATAAGGCTAATCATAACCAAAAAATAAAATGTTTCAAAGTTTCTTGAACCGAAACGCATTACTGGTATATGGCAGGGATCGGCAAGGCCGTGCGCTACTGATCCGTGCGCCTATTTAATCACAGACGCCTTGATACTACCAAAGTCCAAATTTATCTATTTTGAATTAAAGAAAACACCAGATTTTTTTTGAAACATCTACTACTTTATAATTGAGGTGTTTCAAGCATATGGACAGCGAATTTGCTGAAGTCCACGAGCAACGGTCACCGCTCACCGTCCGGCGGGTAGTGTGCTCTTGCCTGTCCAGTTTTCTTTTTTCCATTATCGGCAGACGGGCACACGACCCACCTAACGGTAGGGACCTGGTGGTCTACCCCCAAACAACTGTAACGTGAGCGTGCCGCACCTCTCCGAGGAGTCGGACACGTAGTCCTTCTCCCGACCCTCCTCGTCCCCGTCGTCGCTCTCTTCGAACGCTTCGTCATTTACTTTCCGCTTCTTCTTGGGGGGCGGACCTGTGAAGCGAAAAGATTTTTTCTTTCATTTTTATCACTAACCCACAAAATGACAAAACTAAATACACTATCGATAACGCTTATCGACAACAATAATGCGCATCACTATGCCCGTCCATAAGGCTCGTGAGTGGAAGAGAGAGCGAAATACTCGCTTCACCGCTCCGATTTCTTATGACCCAAACTGCACGGACAAAATAATTCTACTATAGTATGTTCGGCNGATTTTTTCTTTCATTTTTATCACTAACCCACAAAATGACAAAACTAAATACACTATCGATAACGCTTATCGACAACAATAATGCGCATCACTATGCCCGTCCATAAGGCTCGTGAGTGGAAGAGAGAGCGAAATACTCGCTTCACCGCTCCGATTTCTTATGACCCAAACTGCACGGACAAAATAATTCTACTATAGTATGTTCGGCCACACACTCTTCAAACTGGACCGCACGATACGTTTTGCGGCTATACATTTCTATAACTACATATATAATTTATCGACAGTGGCAGTTTGTAAGCGCGCGACTTGGCTCTGCCCCCTGGTATTGCCGAAGTCCATGGGCGACGCTAATCACCCACCATCACGTAGGCCGTATGGTCATCAGACAACAAGGGCAATAAAAAATTAAAAAATCAAAAAAAATCTAAAAAACTCAAGCATTATCATACCGGACGTCTTTCCCAACAGGCCACAGAGGCTCGGTTACCTGAGCTCAACGACTACTACTGTTACTCATTTTTCAAAAACCATACCCAAAGTAGGGGCAAAGAAAAGATGAATTAATTGTGTAACTGTGAAATCGATTTCGGATTATGGGGATTTCTGTGTCAACGGATTTATGTCACCCATTGAAAAGCATTGGTTCCTTGGTAAATAAATACGACAAAAATGCAACCATATTACTAAGTACATAAGATTCAAAACTTCTGCAAATTTAAACCTTATTACGGCAAATGTCACAAATTTCACCATTATTGCAAATATAAAAGAAAGTGTTTGCTATGCGGACACGGTCTGAGCGAATGGCGGAGCCGACGTAGTCCCTCAAAGACCCCTTACCTTTATAGATTCATTGATGAGCATACTGCTCACCTAGTGGTTATCGTACCAGACCTCATAGTTATTATTACATGAATACCGCCACATACTTTAAGAAAAGAGGTCGAAATCTCCACTTAAATTATTTCTATTATCTTTGAAACAAGGGTTACCTATTATTTGACCAAAGTATGTGTGGTATGTGGGGTACATACCACACCTACTTTGGTCTGGAGTTACGATTTCGATCCGTGTTTTAACTAGTTTCGCTACCTTTAAACTATAAAGTTCAGCTGACAGACTGACCTTTACCCTTTTTCTTCTTTTTAGCCCCAGAGTCACTGTCCTCTTCCTTTTCTTTTTCACCAGCACCGGAGTCCGAGGAAGCGTCGTCGGAGTCTATCCATTCGTCCATCTCGGATATCTTGAGGTCTATGAAACGTTTTCCTGATTAGACAGGCAGAATAGGCTTATGGGTACGATGATGACACGATAGTTGTAAGACTGGTGGTAGGACCTCTTGTGAGTCTGCACGGGTAGATACCACCACCCTGCCTTTTTCTACCGTGAAGCGGTAAGGCGCTTCGGTTTGAAAGGTGGGGCAGCCCGGTGTAGCCCTACTGAGACTTTAGAACTTATATCTCAAGGTGGGTGGCGCATTTACGTTGTAGACGTCTATGGGCTCTAGTAACCACTTAACACCAGGTGGGCTGTGAGCTCGTTCACCCATTTAAGCAATAAAAAAAACGAGCGTAATTTTGTGAGTTGTCAGTCGTGTAATGCGTGCGGACTCACAAGAGGTCCTACCACCAGTAAAAACCTTTTGACTTCACCCTTAATGTTCCGAAGCCCTTGACCACAGTGGTTTTAGTAATGTATTGCTATAAGCACAGCATTCCAGTACGAAGTCCAGCTGACGATGCTAGAAACCAACTACGCTTTAAGTGCTTGCTTTATTTTACCATAAGACCTACCATCACCAGCTTCGGCTGACCCCCACCCAGCTTTGAATACCGAGAGCTGATAGTACCTTTTTTAGCTTTCCCTTTAGCTTTCTTTTCGTCTGGGTCCTCTTCGTCTGCATCGTCGACTCCGCGCAACCGTTTCCGCAACATCAACGAGAAGAAATTCATTACCTTGTTACGCCTAGTGCAGAAAAAAATCGATCATCGACTTCAACGGAACATATTTTGAAATATCACTAGAAACAGCAATGGACTTGGAAACAGCAATGGATTCGGTCTAACCATCTTTCACATATACGACGATTGGGACGATGGAGAACAAAAAGCAATAAATTTCAAATAATTCAAACAATAAAGTTATTGTAATTATTCTCGTATAATAATATCTTTAGTGTAAAAAAACTTATTTTTCAAATTATTAGTTTTATAACAATAATCTGTTGCCCTGAAACAGAGATGTAATAAAGTGTTTTGTCTTTTTTCTATTTAGATAAAGCATAAGTACTCAATTCTTCAAATATGCAGACAACAATAAAAAAATATATTTTAATTTTAAGTTCAACTCATTATGATCTGGTTTTTTTTTTCCTATATTATATTTATCGTTACATGCAGTGCGAAAAACAATCATTTAAGCTCTAGATCATTATCGTCAAAGGATTTAGGATAATTACAAAGCACCTTCATTTTCGGGAATGACAGTCTGTATAAAATATGAGTAAATGATTTACAAGTAATTTTACTGGTGGTAGGACCTCTCGTGAGTCCGCGCGGGTGGGTACCACCACCCTAACTATTTCTGCCGTGAAGCAGTAATGCGTTTCGGTTTGAAGGGTGGGGCAGCCATTGTAACTATACTTGAGACCTTAGAACTTATATCTCAAGGTCGGTGGTTACGTTGTGGATGTCTATGGGCTCCAGTAACCAATTAACACCAGGTGGGCTGTGAGCTCGTCCACCCATCTAAGCAAATAAAAAAAAATAAAAAAAATGTCATGGACCATCTTACCTGCCAAATTCCTGTTCGGCTTCTTCAGCTGACAGCGCTTTGTATCTCTGAATCGGTTGGAAATTGTACCTGTTAGAATTCAGTTTTTAGTTTCTTAAGAATTAACTACCTTCATTTTTCTACTATATTTGAGCAATTAAAAAAGAACATTAATAACACAAAATAATAATAAAGGAACAGAGATTCACACACAGCATTCAGATTATTTTTAAATAAAATAGAAGCATTTCTTTCATGTTTTGTAAATATTGCATGAACATTCCGTACCATTCCTGGAGTGGATAGGCGTCTATTGCGCCATCCGCTGCGTGAGTGAACACATAATATGCAGCATTCTCTGATACTCCACCTTCACGAATACCTTTGAATCTAAAAATATGATAATACATGATATGAAAATTACCAGTTACATATTAATTAGTATTATATAGAGCAAGCAAATAGGCATAACCACACGTTAATCTATAACACAAGGCTTTTCATTTAATTATATGCAGTTTTTCATCCTGTTTTCAATCATTGACTTTTAATGAAAAAGGAAGAAGTTCTGATTTAATTTTATTTATTTTATTTTTATCTTCGAACTTTTTCTAGGTTAAACGATTCTGATAAATCTTTTGTTGTGTAAAAATTGTTCCAACTCATGTGAAATGAAATTATTTCTTGTGCATTTCTTGTAAAGGAACCACCAAACAATATCAGAAGAGGTTATTGTTATTTGTTAATTACTAACTTCTTGCCGGTCTTTCCACCGACTTTCAGGATCCACGGCTGGTCTTCCGGTTTGTACTTTCTTGATATTATACCGAATTTCTTGCGACGTGCTTCCTCACGCATGTCCCGTCCGTATTCCGAGCCTGCACCAAATCTGGATTTGTGTGACGAGTATTACCAAAAATATTATGTAATAGTAGTAGTATTTTAATTCGCAAGTATTCAGTAATCTTGGAGCTGTTAAGATAACTTTTTATAAAGGTTGTTCATGGCAAATCTATTTTTTAAAGCATTGAGTAAATAACCTTAATTTAAGGTGTGTCAGTCTTTAGTGTCAACAATGTTAACCTACCGGTTTCCAGTTTTTGACTATTCTTTGTATTATTATCTGCTAGCATTCAAATATGTTGAGTTACAGAAATATCTTAATATTAAATAATTATGCCATAAAATTATGACATACTTTTCACATTTATTTTTAATGATGTAGAAAATTAATTTATGATTATTAAGTCAATCTATTTGATATCACTATCAAAGAGTTGAATTTTCTTAATACTAACTTGGGCATTTCCTCTTCAGCTCCTTTGAATTCTTTGCTGTTGTTCTCTCGCTCCATCTTGACATGAGTCCATTTTGCAAAATCTACATTCAATGTGGCATTGAACCTCATAACATGATATTTCTTCTTTACATTCTTTGGCACTCTTATTTTATACTCCTGTACTGTGGCGGCCGGTGTCTGAGAAAATTTAATATATCCGTGAAATCGTAACTATTGTTATTACTATTAACTATTATTTATATGATTACGATACCATTCTATCTATGATTTGGTAAAATTTACCAAATTTGATTATATTATTCTTTCATGTACCTACTTACTTCAGTAAGAACACATTTTCTTGCATATTAATTTAATATTATTTTGAACCTCACAATTTATTGATTGTTTTAAGTTCTTAAACGAAAAAGGTGAAATATCATATCTTACCGTACTACTTCCAGGTGTAGACATTTTTTACACTTATATCTATATCAAGATTAATGACGGTATATTAATTTATAAAATGACAATAGTCCTCGATATCATGATCTCACTAACGTACACGTTAAATTTCTTCAAATCAAATAATTTATTACGTTACAGTTTACTCTTTGATTCAAAATATTGTAATCAACTATAATGCTAATCGCCAACTGTGCTGGCAAAATAAAATTCTGTCAAATTAACGTCAAAAGTCAAAATTTCTTCAAGCACAGAGCACATTTCAGTCTGTCAATGAATTTATGATCATAAGTCATATTATTTAACTAAGCTCATGAGTTCTATTATTTTAATATACATGTAATAGTCATTAGGATTTAAAACATTTTTTTCATACGTGACGAAAAAGCAGTCTTATCAAATTGTTTACAGTAGCTTAGCATATTGTTGTCCAGGACTAGAAATTATCACCCACAAGGTTAGTCACCTCCTCTTTGCGTCGATTATCCATAACAATGAGGGTCATGGCGTCCCATAATAATCTCTCTTGGACTATCCTGATAGAAATTATTGGCGCAGGCGCCAATCCTATTGCCTATCCTCGACTTTCCGGATGGCATCGTGGGCTGAGGTGTTGAGAGTAGAGGCATCTAGTGCAATCAGAGCATTGGACTTCTGTTTCTGAACCTTCTTCCGCATACTTTGCCTGTTACCAGCAGTTATTCTAAATTGTCACCTTCTTTCTGGAAATGTGTCCAAAGAACTCTAAACTTGAACGGAATCTTGAACTCAGTAAGAATGTATTCGTAAGATCAATGTTCTATCAAACCCTTCCATCCTAAAAGTTATAATCATAAAACAGACATGGCTTTGATTATTTTGGCTGTATTCCCATTGCCAATGAAAAAAAGAAAAAAAAAACTGTTTACAATAATAATCACAATAGAAATCAGTTTCATAAAATATTTAGAAATTTGAGTTATTTAATTTTTCATTAAAATGGGTAAAAAGAAAAATAAGAATAAAGTTAGTGGCGCTGTTAAAACCGCAGCTAAAACTGAAAAAAAGCTAGCTAGCAAATTAAAAAAAGAACTCGCAAATCTTGGTGAGGTTAGACCATGCCTTTTCGCATTATTTATTAGAAACTCTCAAAAAGCTACCTGAAATTACGCCATCATGGATCTAATATAGTACTATAAACTTAAATGTTACTGAAACTAACTTACAAAAATTATTAAAATGTGTAAATTTTGTAAAATTCATGAAAAATCATAAAATAAAATAATTCGAAATAATTTATACTTTCATGATTTAATCTAGCTTTAATTATTTGGAGATAATATAATGGTAACAAAAACTACTTCTATGATATGACGTGAATGAAAAAGTCATTTTGTTACTAAACTAAGCTAAGCTGAAGAAAGAGCAAGTAAAATTTTAATAGAAGTTTTGTATTATGTATATTTCAGGAAGATATAGCTAAAGTGATAGCTGAGATAGAACGGGAGGAAGCTAAACGATCTGCTGCATCAGAGAAGGTCCTCGAAAAGCCACCATCCTCCAGAGCGTACGCAACGCTCACCCCACATCCAATCAATAATGAGCTTGTGCTGTTTGGTGGAGAATACCACAACGGACAAAAGGTATCAATTTCATTTTTAGAGATATTACAATATTAGGTAAAGTATCATGATGGATAAAGAAAATACATAAATTGGTGTATCTGTAATTTTATAGTCCATCCAGTGTTAAGTTATTACTGAAGCCTTTAGACATTACAACATGAATAGCATTACTAACTGAGACATCAAGTTGAATTACTTGTTTAACCCTTAAAACTGGAATGCATACTTTGTGGCAGAAATAGGTATAGAATGATGATGAGTGATTTTGATAGAAGAATATACATACATAAATGTGCCTAATTGCTATCACTTTTACAGAATACATTGTGTGCTTTCATGACTTGATACTAACATACAGTCTATCAAGAATAAATCTGTACATCCACTTTGTAAGGAACTATCTCAATTCACAAGAAGTATTTAATAAAACACATAATTTTCGGTTAAGTAACAAAACTGTCAAAATTGACTAATTTGAATAGTAAATACTGTAGGAAAAGTTTTTAAAACAATTATTCTATTTTTGAACACCTGAAGAATTTGCAGGTACTTTCTCTTTTAAATGGTTCCATGGCCTACTGCAAACTTTTTCTATTCTATTGGGAATATGGTGAAAGTGTCATATATATTTTTTTTCCTACCTACGCTGATAGCCTTGAGAGGCTATATCAGCGTCGCCTTAACTAGTAGGTGAGCTCACGGGGCTCAAACCTGATGACGTTGCTAACACGAACCCTAGCAAGAGCCGTGCTTCGCAGAATCTACCACCGAATCGGAAACGCGACCCACTGAGAAGATCCGGCGAGAAGCTCAGTGGGCTGTGTCTGAGGGTTAATTTACTCGTCGAGCCCTTCGTCGCAAGCGACGGGTTTGACGAGAACGATGACCGGAAAGTGTCATAATTGAGTCATGTCACTATACATAATATCTGTATTTGTACTGCTTGTTAAATAATTTTATGTTGCATTCCAGACAGAAACATACAACGATTTATTTATATATAACACAGTGAGTAATGTTTGGAGGCAACTGAAAGCACCCGGTGCCCCGCCTCCGCGTAGTGCCCATCAAGCTGTCTCCACCCCTGCTAACAAGTACGTATTATACCACCATAAAATATCAGACATGAGCCCTTCTAAAATATTCTTTCATTTAGTTTGTCTTTCATTTCAATTTTATAGGATGCTGATTTTCCAAAATATTTGAGTTTTGTATGATATGGTTGTGAACGGTGATTGTAATAAATATCCTTCTATATTTAGTTCAGTTTAAATGCTTGCTTGTAAAAACAAAATATGTTCCGATTAGTTGATTGACGATCTCCATTATTCTCAGAGGTGAGCTTTGGATATTTGGAGGAGAATTCACGAGTCCATCAGAAACACAATTTTATCATTATAAAGATTTGTGGTGCTTCTCATTTGCCGAGAGAAAATGGGAAAAGGTAAGTAAGAATTTTCACATTCTTATTCCATTGAAAGTAGATGCGTCTGCAATTCCATGGCCTCTGTGTTGGTTACCTAGGAGATCACAAGTCGTATGCTACCCAGTTCACCTTGGAACCAAGGGGACTTACACTTGCATTGTACGCCCCATTTTACTGGTGGTAGGACCTCTTGTGAGTCCGCACGGGTAGGTACCACTGCCCTGCCTATTTCTGCCGTGAAGCAGTAATGCGTTTCGGTTTGAAGGGTGGGGCAGCCGCTGTAACTATACTGAGACCTTAGAACTTATATCTCAAGATGGGTGGCGCATTTACGTTGTACATGTCTATGGGCTCCAGTAGCCACTTGGCACCAGGTGGGCTGTGAGCTCGTCCACCAATATAAGCAATAAACAAAAAAAAACGCCCATTCACGTAATCCACGACAAGCTAATGTTTTGTTTTGGTTGTTTAAAGCTAAAATGTGACAAGCAGTGTCCTAAAAAAAATGCCTTTGACCTCCTGTAATTTAATTGCTTTACAAAATTCTATTTTGCAGTAGTGCAAAGTAAAATTTAAATATTTCTTTTATGATTTTTGTTTTTGTTTTTAGCAGAGAGTTTAAGTTTGTTTTCAAGTTTAATTCAAAGACATATGACATTCAATATTATTCTATTTTGATAGTACAAAATAAAATTTAAATATTTCTTTTTTTGATTTTTGTTTTTGTTTTTGTTTTTAGCGAGATACATCTTATGTTGGTTTTCAAATTTAATTCAAAGACACATGAGAAGGACACATTCAATATTTTATGAATTACTGAACAAATATACTAAGGACTATTACTTACAATTTGCAGGTGGTAGCACCCAATGGTCCTTCACCTCGCTCAGGTCACAGGATGGCACTTCTGAGTCGAAAGTTATATGTCTTCGGAGGATATTGCGATGACGGACGGGACTGTCGCTATTTCGATGATCTGTACACCTTCTGTCTGGACACGAGGACCTGGAGTAAAGTGACTGTGACTGGCCGAGGACCCAGCCCGAGGTCGGCCTGTGTTATGCTACCTTGCGGGAATGATTCGGTGAGTGCTGTGAGCTGAAAAACGAGTGTGTTAATAACTCTGTGCATGTTTCGAAATTAGTAAGGAAAATTAGTCTTTGAATTGATTGTAGTAGCAGTAAATTATTGATGGAAGCTCAAACATGGTTTTCTTTTGAGCTTCGATCAATCAAGACGTCAAGATTTAGATCCATTTAATGTTTTCACGTATGTTTTGTAGTTACTGGTAGGACCTCTTGTGATTACTGGTGGTAGACCTCTTGTGAATCCGCGCGGGTAGGTACCACTGCTTTACCTATTTCTGCCGTAAAGCAGTAATGCGTTTCGGTCTGAAGGGTAGGGCAGCCGTTGTAACTATAATGAGTTCTTAGAATTTATATGTCAAGGTGGGTGGCGCATTTACGTTGTAGATGTCTATGGGCTCCAATAACCACTTAACACCAGATGGGTTGTGAGCTCGTCCACCCATCTAAGCAACAAACAAAAAAAAATTGGCATTCAGAAAAAAAAAACTGTTTATAATAATTATTATAAAAAAATCCCTCTAGTTGCTGGTGTACGGAGGTTTCTCCAGAGTCCGAGACGGTAAGACGGAGCGCGCCTGTACGCACGGCGATATGTTCCGTCTCAGCACGAAGCAGGGGGGAGCCCTAACGTGGCGCTCCGTGTCCGTCAGCGGAGCCCCGCCGCCCCGGGCCGGAGTCGCGGGTGCCGCCAACGTCGTGGCTGATAGGGCTTATGTTTTCGGCGGAGTCAGTGTAAGTGCTTGACCTCGATCTGGTTCTACTACAAATATCTATAAAATGTGTTGGGTAGCATGTGAGTTGCATGGATTGCTTACAGAATATAATTCAGACTTCTGAATTGATGTCTCGAACTTATGTGGCGTCTTTTCTGACATAATAAATACGGTATACTGAAGATGAGGTGTCTCTAAATGGACATTGCGACTCTGGACGGATGTTGCGAAATCCATAGACAGCACGTCGGACCAACCTATCCATTCTGAAGGAGCTCGGTATTGTCACAAGGCTGTCCGCTATCTGCTTCCAACGTATACTCGCGTACTTCGGCCACATCGCTTGTAGAGGCCCCGATAACTTGGAAAAGCTGATGGTAGTATATCAGGTTGACGGGAGATCACGCGGACGCTCACCTACCCGCTGATCTGATCTGGTTAAGACGCTCACCGGTATGCCAATAACCGAGGCTATAAAGACTGCTGAGGACAGGAAGACGTGGGGAAGCATTGTGCATGGAGTGGTCCACATTTCAGATTAGACACGACCTTCAGAAATGAAGAGACCGACTCAGAAGAAGAAGAAATGGACATTGTCATCACTTTGCTCACTGCTTGCTATAAAGAATTTAAATTTCAGGACGTGGAAGAAACCGATGAAGAGCTCCGTGGGGAGATGAGCGATGACCTCCTACTGCTGGAGCTCGATACCGCGCGATGGCATCACGTTACCCTTAAGACTGAACGGCAGACCAGGCGGGACGCTGAAGACCCTGGGAGCGTGGACATGGAGGAAGGTGAACAGAAGGAACCTATGACAGGTTAGTAGCAGTAATCGAATACCTGGTAACAACTGGTTTCAGATAGATAGATATCCTCACTGCCTAATGTTAAGTAATTACATGAACCTTGGACTATGTCCACCTCAGGGTTTTTTTTATTGCTTAGATGGGTGGACGAGCTCACAGTCCACCTGGTGTTAAGCGGTTACTGGAGCCCATAGACATCTACAACGTAAATGCGTCATCTACCTTGAGATATAAGTTCTAAGATCTCAAGTATAGTTACAACGGCTGCCCCACCCTTCAAACCGAAATGCATTACTACTTCACGGCAGGAATAGACAGGGTGGTGGTACCTACCCGTGCGAACTCACAAGATGTCCTACCGCCAGTAATAACGCAAATTATAATGGGGGGGTTCTATTACACGATGTTATTCCTTCACCGTGGAAGTAAATCGTGAACATTTGTTGAGTACGTATTTCATAAGAAAAACGCCAGCGGGACTCGAACACCGGTGCATCGCTCAACACGAATGCACCGGACGTCATATCATTTAGGCTACGACGGCTTCAAATACAATTATCGATTCGCAGTAGTCACAGATGAGGTGTTCACGATGAAGTTGGGTGCTGCTCCGACCCCCAACAGTCTCCCCCATTCTGCCGCGAACGAGGAGTCTCCCCCCCGCAGCGGTCCCGGCCCGAGGATGTCTGCCATGTTGGTGGTGCACCGCTCCATCCTCTATGTCTACGGAGGAGTTCTGGAGAAAGACGAGAAACAGTTCTATTTGGGAGACATGTATAGTTTAGGTAAGATAATTATTTTTCATTTATCTTCCTACCCCTAGATGCAAGTTATCCAACAATATAATAATCGTCATTTACATGAATTCATTTTGTGCAAAGTGTAATTTTTTAAATGTTGTTAAAAACAATTTACTTTATCAGATAACAAATATGAAATAAACGAAATAATAATAAAAATAATAACGAAACAATGAGCTCTTAAATCTACCAGTATATGTATATTATAGAAAAAGACTTTTCGCTGGTTTAATCACTGTCATAGACATAAGCAATGCTGGCGGCACAGTTGTCACAGCCTATCGAAGAAGCTTAAATAAGTACTTGTCGCTGTCTAAGCCAGAATACTTGATGTTAGAGATATTTTGAACAAATCGGCTCCACTATAAATCTTTATATAATGCAGTTAGAATTTCCAACTTATTTTTGAATGTAATGTTAAGTTAAATAGGTAGTCACATAATGTAGGGTATAGTCGACGCATTTTAAACTGAGTCGTCGGGCAATAAATGTCACTGACAGTAGGAATGTGCACGCAATCCCGTTTTCGATACCTAGCTACCTGCGCACGCGTGGTTATCCGTCATCGTGACCTTCATTAGCACTCTGACTCCTGATTGGTCGTTACGAGTAAAGATTTTTGAAGAACTAAGAAATATAGGGATATTAGAAAAGATAAAAACGGCCCTTTTCAAGGCCACATTACGATCTATACAGTTTCTCTGTGATTACATCGAAAAAAAAATTTTTTCTTATAAATTGAAAACTTTTATTTTCAGATAGCGAAAATTATTCCTATTAATGCTTAATATAATTTAGGGTATCGATCGTACCTATCCCGTTATCGATATGCATCTCTACAATTCTTACGCACATCACTATACCTCTCCATAAGATTTGTAGGTGCGAGCGAGACAGACAGATAAATAATATTTATGACCCGAAGCGTCAGTTCATAATGCGTCGACTAGTGAATAGTGAGCCCCTATCTATTCATCAACACCAATAGTTTAGTATAGGTATATCTGCATCTGTTTCTACACTATATTAAATTGAAGTTATGGTATGATCTACACCACAAAGAAATCTAGGTCTTAGTCCACATATGGACAGAGAATTCTAAATCGAGTTCCTCACTTAAGGTACAAATAAGTCTATATATAAATATTCCAATTTTGATTTAATTCGAGAACTCATTGCTGTAATACCGCTTGGTCTACAGACAACGGCTTGGTCGATTGTGTTTGTAAGTATAAGCCGCGCCAATATAGAAACGAATCGAAAATGGCGTCTATGTACCTGCACTGATAGATGATAGGGTCAACAAATAAAAAGAAAGATAAAAAGAAAAAGATACGAAATAACGAACTAATGCAACAAATAACAACAGAATTTGAGAGATCACAGAGCGCGTCGATACAGTGTGAGAACAAAGTCAGAACTGATCATTTTTTTTGCATGTAGTACGCGCCGTGTGCGACTAAAGATAGCAATAGTTTAGAGTGAGATCGCATGCGCCAATTTAGATTCGTTTCTTTATTGGCGCGGCTTATGACTGAGAGATTTTTGTTCATAAAAACCATGTTGTTGACAGATCTACACAAATTGAACGAATGGAAAACTATGATACGACAGCCCGCGTTGCCGGATTGGCTCGGATCTGATTCGGAATCTGAATCGGACGGATCGGATTCAGAGACCGAGAGCGATGAATCTGATTGAAATTTTATGTAAATTAGTATTATGTATAATATTAAATTGATAATTTATAATGGTATTTTTTATTTTTTATTGGTTCATTTTTAAATGTAATCTGCTACGTTTTAGTTTAAAGGCGATGTAGGGGATCGTTATGAATTTATCTATAATTATCGTATTTTGACCTCAAATGACGTCACGCTTAACGAATTCAGATAGGGCTTTGTAAAGTTTGATTTAAAAATAAAACGAAACATTACACGTTATCTTTTTTAATTATTTACATGATTTCAATACCTTAACAATAATTAATATGTCTGTATAAAAATTCCATTTCACCTTTCGAAAGCTATATACCCGGTGTTCAATATCATTTTCGATTTGTTAATAAGCGCTAAAACACATTCAAACCTGCCAATCACATTACAAGTTTTTCATTGAAAAATGAAAGCGCTTACAAACAAATGTATTTAAGTATTCACAGTCACAACGTCCATGAGAAAAACACGTTATTATGCTATTTCATATGAAATTTTAATTTAGACTGAACGCGACTAGATTTTTCTCACATAACGCGTGACCGTCGATTAATTGAATCTGATTAAATACAAAACTCTATATTATGTTATTTTAATCGATAGTAATATCATTTCTAATTCATACATGCAACGACTATTACGATTATCGACTATTATACTATCGATGTGTGCACGATAAAATAATGGATCGATAAAAAAAATGAAATCATAGAGACTAAACAGAGACAGTTATTTTAACACATTGACTGCCATGCAGGTCGCCGGTGCCGTACGCGGTAGTAAGGTAGATTTCTGTTACTAAGCGCCTGGATTGCTTAACTTTCCCTTTTGTTGTTAATACATGTTTTAGTCGTTTAAGTCTGTTAGACATTGATTCGTTCTTAGTATCTTCGGATTAATATTTCCCAGAGACAGATAATTCGGCGCCTTAGTAATAGAAATCGACCTGATTACGTCAGTCACAGTCAAAAGGTTAAAAATAACTTTGAGAGCTTATCGATTATAAATCTAAATTTTATGTTAAATCAACGCGTGTTCATGAACATTTTATCTTGCAATACGTTTTCAACAGTTTCTATTCGGTTACCCTGTTACATAGTACACCACATAATACGATATAAAAACTACGATTTCCTAGCAACATTTCAATTTTTAACAACATTTAATCGAAAGATAATGTCATGATAAATTGATAGTTGTCATATTCATAAATGTATATTCATTACAGATAATCTATGGTAAAATAATCTTCAATATCCGTAATATTATCATTAACACAAATGTAGAAAAAACTATGTACTTTATGTTATTATATCTTAGTTCGTTTTTACCATTATGGTATAAACACTATTTGTATGCCAAAAAGATATTGTTTGTTTTTAATTTTAAGCTGCCTGTAGCATCATGAATGGAAAAATTGATTTAAATTTTTAATACAATTATCACCAAGCGAATATTATCATGAAACAATATTGTTGATTAAGCTGCCAATAATTATCACTTTTAGAAAGAATTATTTCGCTTAAGGCTTTTAAAAGACCATTACAAAACGTAGTATGTTATATTTATTTTAATAATAAGTTTAAAGTATATATTGACATTTCTGACGTCCATTAGCGACAGTAACCACTTGGCATCAGGTAGACTGTATGTTCGTATATACAGGGACAATTAGAAAATCTATAAATATTTATAATGGTCGCAGACAGTTACAATGCAATGTAATCTTGAGATAACTTTCATTTATACTAAAACGTACGTGTTTCGTACATTTTGATCCAGTATTTGAATATTTTTAATTAATAAAATAAGGCAAAAAACAATACCTAGTCCATCAAGGAACAAAACTCAAAATCATCAAAAACTATCATCTTGTTATTAATGAATCAAAACCGATTTATTTTCAAGACCTCGTACATATTCATACAGTGATCCGTAAGCACACTTCACGGAATATAATTTTGCCACTCTGAAGTAATCGTGAATTCTAAACATATTCTTTACAATATCTATTTTGCCTGTTAAATTATGTTAGATTGTTAAAAATTGGTCAACGATTGACAAAACCACCACAAGAAAAAAAAAGTTGTCAAGGTTACGGGCTACAAAATGAAAATAGTCAAGTATTTATTAACTATATAGGACCGTTCCTGCGTTTCTCAATTAAAAAGATACAATTTGACTATTAAATTAATAATTAAATAGATGGCACATAGTGTCTACTCACAGGCATTGGTCCCGGTACTCGCAACATTCTCGCAGTAAAATGAAACTTTATTGTCGTGCAAAGAATGAACAGATTATCGTGCAACGGAACGGTATAAGCATGAGCTTAGTTGTCAAACAAATTTTAATTTATTGTAAACATTTAATTATTGTTCGACATTTCTATAATACTTTATTGTTTGACAATTATTTTTATTTATTTCAATAGATAATATCAGTGGTCTAGAGAGATATAATCATTCAAACGAATGTAGTTGTGCGTTACATTTATGATATTAGCAAGGTATAAAACACTAAACAAACAAATATCTGTACAAAATCTAGGCGTTATACTTTATGTCAATTTTTTTCTAACTACCTACTACACACAGAAATTACGTATATTTAGTATATTCATATTCATATATAAAACTATGTATAAAATTAAAATAATTTTCAAAGCATCATTGTCGGGCTTATTTAACAAGTTGCCTTTATATTTTACATTGATCGCGAAATGAAGCATTGAAAAAAATTTACTTACTTAGCTGAAGCCGTATTATACACTGAATTAACAAAATCATAATTTAAAAATCAAATACAGAAAGTACGTTCTTCATTTTTGTACCGTTCAACAACAAGTTATGTAAAGTTTAAACCAGAAAAGTAAATTAAAGCTGCCTGTGGATAGTTTGGAATCTATTTCTTTGCTTAATTGTTTTCAGTTTGACTGTTGACATAATTTTACATTTGTCGATTGGCTCGTTTGACAGGTATAAATTTTACATTTAGTGATTTTTATTTTAACTGTAAACGCACTGCTAAAACGCTCAGTCTCAGAGTAAAACAAGGTTTCTTAAATAAATTTAAATTTTGAATTTGTTCACGACCTCCACGTTTATCTGATCCGAGTGCTATGGCTCCCGAACACAAATTTATGAACATTAGTTTAAAAATTTCGGATCTTTTTTCTGAAGTAACTCTTATAAGATCCGACAAAATTAATACGGCCAATCTTCACAAATGGGTGTTTGAATAAGTTTTGAATCTATAGCTCGCGTCACAATTTAGACAAATATCCTCTTATTGTCTTAGTCAACGTGAAATCGTTCATTGTTTACCATTTTTCAATTGTGGATCACATATCGCATTGTATCCGCTAACCAAACTTTGATATTGAATGTGTTTTTTATTCTTATAATGCAGCAGTGGTCTATGATCTGAGACTGCCGAACAAAACGTTTGTTAGATGACTGCAGGTCGACTCTAAACATAAATCCGTAGATACAAACTTTAAATTGAACGATAGAATAATGAAATTGGTTTTATTAATTTATAAAAAAAAAGCAAATCAGTCTTAACTTAGCTTAAAGTTACATGACTATGTTTTATATACATGTTCTTGACGAGCCCATTAAATTAAGTCTTTAGAATTTTGTTAAATGCGATGATAATAATAATGAAAAATGCATCAAAGTTAAATAAGAGACTGTCAAAAAACAAAAGTTTCATTTTAAAATTTGACTTCAAGAAAACAAAATTTTTGTTCGATATCAAACTTTATAAATATATGATGCATGATATTTTAAAGTTCTGCATTATATTCTTCATAAATTATTAAATATTTCATTATTAAACATCGAGTGAACTATTTACATTGTACAATGACACTCTGCACTCTCATAGGATATAAAATTAAAAATGATATACCAAACAGTTTCATAGACAAAAAAGAAAAAAAGTAAAATAAAAACAAAAGTTCATCCATCAGCTACATAATTCATTTTGATTTACATCCAAAAATTAAAAATATACCAGACTGAAAAAGTAATTCAAATAGAACTTGCACATTTCTTTAGAAAGTTACGAAAGAGATAATCACATCCCCTTTTTGCTAATATTTTAAGTACCTATGTAGTAATCCATCAACTCTTGCTAATATTTTAAGTATGTAAATTGATGCTAATATACTCTAGAAAGAAATCATACCAAGCTGACATATTCCAATAGTGTCATAAGTCAATAACTGAACAATTTGTATAGAAGTACTAAATGATTTTACAAGCATGCTGACTGCACTTTAAAAATATAATGTTTCGTTTTCGTATATATATACATTTCCATGTTCACCCATTGTCATTTTCGACTTATTCCATAATTGAATTGAGTCAGCGAATCAAAATAAATATGTATTGGTTGCATGTTTCGGCGCGTTTTGAACGGTCACAGTGATAGTTCATTAGTTCACGGAACACTCCACACTTTTATCACAGTACTTACACTCCCCCGGCCGTCGCACTGACTAGGCTACAGACACCAAGCGCGCGGTCGTGCCGCCGCCATGTTCCACAAAAACTGTCAATCCGTATTCGAATAGTGAACGCGATTTGCATTTATATTTCGAACGATTACGACCGCGACTGTCACTTGTTTTTTGAATATTGAACGCGACCGCCGCTCCTGTTTCGAATCTTCGAACCTTCTAGAACAAATCGGTTATTATTGTACCGAACCACGCGCACACTACGGGCAAAGCGTAAGTGAAGAGGGCTTTCTGTAGCGACGGTCGGTCGGCCGCGTCGGTGACCGGCTGCTCCCTGGCCGACGTGTCTTGAACCTCGGTTCTGTCGCTGCTCGTATCGGGCGGGATGTCTATGTCGCTGGCTCTCGGCGTGTCGTCGAGACGGGGCCTGACGAACACGTTGTTGGTGGCAGGCGAGTCTACAATGACGGGTATGTACGGCTCGATGGTAGTGGTGGTGGACGGCGGCGGCGGCGGCGGCGGATTCATGGGCGGCTCCACGTCCGTGGGTGGCTCAACCGTTTCCTCTTCAGCTGAATCGCCGGAACCTGAATAATTACACGGATACATTTAAGGTAAACGTTTGAACGGTTAAACGAGAAAAAAATCTTATAGTTATTTTCACGCCTAATATATTTTTCGATCAAAATATTTGTATTATACAACGCTTGTTTAGAGACTTCGAATTACCTAAATTCATAATATTGTGGTGGATGTCTGCGGGATTCGAACACCGAAACGGTTTCATCGCTCGACGTGAGTACGCCGGGCGTCATATCATTTAGGCCGCAGCGACTCCAAGTACCTACTGAGAATGCATTACCTCTCTCGTAATCATCTTCGCCTTCATCATCGTCGTCGGTCAGGTCGTCGTCATTGCCGAAGTCGCCCGACCCGGAACCCGACTCCGCCCCGTCGATGTACTCCTGCGCTGATGAACTGGCCGGTTGCATTTCTGATAAAAAATTAACGTGTTACAGTGCAACCTTAATATAAAGAACCTCAATGTAACGACGTACTCAATTTAACAAATTCCCCCAATTCAAGGATAATTCAAGGGGATAACAAAAAGTTATCCCCTTGAATTGTCCATAAGAGTCAATGTAAAATATAATATTTACATTGCGAAGATTTCTTGCGAATAACGAATTTTCGACTATCAAAAAAAAGTGTAAATACCTCTAATTAATGGATTTTGTCAACCCAAAATCTTTATATAACGTTCCCATCAATATGACCCTAAATCCCATAGTATGTGAATCAGTCTTGATAGGATTGAGAAAAATTGTTAACTAACTAATTGTGTTATCATTTATTAGTAGAAGTTGTTCGCTATAACAAGATGAGTTCGTAATTTTGAGGTGGACTATTTGTTTTTTTACCTCGTTATAACAAATGGTAGACCAACCTAACCTTAATATAAAAAACCTCTGTTAACCGAATTACTTGATATGACAAATATTTACTTGTTCCGTTCCGATTTGTTATATCGAGGTTGCACTGTATTTAGTATTTACTGAAGACCTTCGCAAATGCAGGGCAATACATGAAATGGCCGGCATTTATGAGCCGAATACAAAGCAAAATAAAATCCGTTGCGTCCGGCGCGGGCCAATGGACGCGTACCTTCATGCAGTTATGTGTGATTCGGTATGTACCTCTATCCTCAGCATCGGTCCACTGAACTTCGACGCCGTTGAAGGCATCCTTGAGTCTCGCCGTCAGGGTCTTCAGTGTCTCGATCTCTGCGGCCACGACCGTCTCGGCGGTGGGGCTGACCTTGCCCTTGACTTCAGGGTTGGAAGCGAGGCCGATAGTGCCGTCTCCGGCGGCGATGAGGGTGTAACTGTAATATCAAATAATGATTTTTTTTTTAATTTAAAGATCCGGCATATCGTGGTTACTGATTTAAAGGTCGTGTTATCTGCGGATTTTGAGGGTTAACGACAAACCGAAGATCTTTCACCGATCGGGTGAAATTGTTCAGTCGGTCGATTGTTGTTCAGAATTTGTATTGCAAAGTTTACAATCAACTTCGATTCATAAGAAATGAATTAGTGTTTCTATAAGATAAAAATGATGGAAAATAAAACGAATTGAATTCACCAGTAGGTATATTGTATGTCTTTTGTAGTGGCAATTCATGACTATATTTCCAAAAGTATTTCTTGCTGCTAAATTTGGTATCACATTAATTCGATATATCGGATAGGTTTGATATACCCTAAGATTGTCATAGCGAATTACATCATGTCTTCGTTGCATTAGTGAACCGTTACGAAATTGTTATTTCGGGCCCTGGTCCTAAGAGTGTGTGTCGGTCGAGTGTTTAGTCAGACGCGCGCTGGGACTGCGTTACCTGGCGACCGCGGAGCCGTTGAAGCAGGGCGCGCTGGGCGTGCTGGTGGAGGAGCACATGAGCGCGGGCAGGTGGTGCCAGTAGCGGCGCGTGTTGCGGACCCGCGTGCGCGTCTCCCGGACCAGCCGCTCTAGGGCCGGGCCGCCCCAGTCTGACCCTGCATAATGCATAAGATAATGTGAATCAACTTATCAATGCCGCAATAAACGGGACAAGTGGTGGAGCGTGCTGGACCGACCTGTTATTTAATTTTGCATGCGTCTAACGAACATTTGGCCTCGATTCCCATGAAAATCACGTCTATGGGTTTTGGTAAATATATCAACACTTTGAGCTAGTTTGGTATATGTATCAACACTTTTAAGTCACCTTGAGTACATTTGGAAGACACACAAAAGTAGTGTACTAATTTAGTTACAATGACAGTTAATCATTTTCTGATTAGACCAAAGACACGTTTTTTTCGTGTTTTTTTTTTATTTTAAACAAAGAGCTTACCGTGACTGTCTTCGGATTTGGCGGCAGGTTTCTTCTTTTTCGATTTCTTATCGAAATCGTAATTTCTGAAATCAATGTCCAGACCACCCGCGGGCGCCGGGTCGGGGTCGGCGTCACGTTTCTTCCTCTCGTGCTCTTCATATTCTTCTAGACCGATATTCCCTCTCATGTACTGGAGGAACCTATCCCGAAGTTTGGCCTGTTCTGCCATTTCCGCTGTGGCTTTCTTGATTCCCTCGGGAGTCCTGAGTCCAACTAACTGTGGATCATCGTTGATCAAGCTTTCAAAGGTAGTTTCCACCTCGAAGTCATCAACGTCGTTCGCTTTCTGGTTCCAGTCAAAGTCTGGTATCGCCCGAGGTGACCTCCTCGCTCGATCAGAAGCGAAGAACGGTCCGGCGCCACCTCCGCCACCCAGGACAGGTTTTCCGCAACCGGTGAATATCCTCTGTGATATTTCGCGATTGTGCTCTTGGAAACTCATGATGGCTTCGGATATCTTGATGTCGATCGGTTCGACCACCATAGCTATGTTGAACGGGCCGAGGAGTCGGTCGGCTACTTTGTCTACGGCGTCTGGAGTCAAAATATACGTTAATTAGTGGTCACGTATCAATTTATTGCATTATGTAATAAATTCATTCATTTCACTGGTGGTAGGACCTCTTGTGAGTCCACGCGGATAGATACCACCGCCCCGACTATTTCTGCCGTGAAGCAGTAATGCGTTTCGGTTTGAAGGGTCGTAACTATACTTGAGACCTTAGAACTTATATCTCAAGGTGGGTGGCGCATTTACATTGTAGATGTCTATGGGCTCCAGTAACCACTTCACACCAGGTGGGCTGTGAGCTCGTCCACTCATCTAAGCAATAAAAAAAAATCATAATTATTTCACTAATCGTGTTTTCGTTTTAAAGAACTTATCCAATAATACATGTGTAGCTTGGTTTCTGACGTTTTACTTACCAATAAACAGAGTAGACTGTCGCAACCATACCCCAGATTAATAGATATGATGCAGAAAACAAAAGCAGTTAGTACCTAAACAAGTCGGGTTTAAACCATTTGATATTTATTTTGGGGATTGTGAAATCCTCAGAACAAGGCGTCACAATTATATGACTCTAGTTCTTTAATACTGTTTCGACGAGGCTCAAGCGTAGCAATTAGTCTTAATATTCTGTTAATTCGTTTGTCGCTTACCGACATATGCATCCCATTGTTCGCCCAGATCAGCGTGAGCTGGCAGACATCCACGGATGACGTTGTGACAGTACCGGGAGCAGGCTGGGACCTGGAGTCCGCCGCACGCGCCGCAGTACCTCAGCCTAGTCCAAGCTGTTGCGCATTCCGGGGTCAAACCAGCCTGGAAAGACAAAATAAACTGTATCTTTTTTTCCTTCCTATGCTGATAGCCTTTAGAGGCTATTTCAGCGTGTAGGTAAGCTCACCGGGCTCAAAACCGGAGGGGTTCTTAACAGTGCCCTAGCAATAGCAGTGCTTCGCAGAATCTACCACCGGATCGGAAACGCGATCCACTGAGAAGATCTGGCGAGAAACTCAGTGGGCTGTGTCTATGGGTTAATTTACTCTGATGAGGAAAACTATTCATTTTGACTGTAGTATCGAATTAGAATTCAGAATAACTTGTTTTCGAACTAAAATAAAAAAGTTTTGTACCCATAACTACTAAATGAGTCGTCTATTATCAAAGGTGGCAATCTGTGCATTTGGACAAAAACTTTTAATTGATATGTCAATACAGATTGATTTGAATATAATCGTCTCCTTCAAAGAATACGGTTCAAAACCTGCATTAAATAAAGGTTAATAGTTAACCTGTTATTTATCTAAGATGTCGTTCAGAAGAGTTTTGTGACTGCTAATGGAATACAAAGTCAATAATTCGTTTTTCTGATTTACCAATAATTGTCCAAAAGACACATTGCCGGCTTTGATAATAGTCGACTCAAATATATAAAAGAAACTTTAAACAGTTTCCACATGTAGATACAAGTTTCATTACAACGATAAAAACATTACAAATTTTTATTAATATTAATAATGTGCCAAATAACCACATGAGGCAAGTATTCTGAGAACGCGTTATCCAGATTAATGATTACACAATTTTAAGGTAACGTGATTTGAATATTTATAGCCGAATTGAAATGTTCAATGGATAAAGAAAAATGTTAATCAATTGAAAATTTTTAAGTTGGTATCGCGTAACTGCGATTTGCGCTTCAGATGCGCACAATTCCGCTGTGTCACGAGCGTGCCATTCGTTAAATATAAATAAATGTAATTAGCATAAACAATAAATAAGCGTGATATATCAGGCGGCGCCATTCGAGATCAATGTACAGACGCCGACACTGCCGACAGCGGTTAGTGATTCACGAATACATTGCTCATTACGTTTTTCTGTGGTGACTGTATATTTTGCTTTGTGAATTACAATTTTTATTTCATTTAAATGAACGATTCATAATTCAGTTTCGTTCGTTCAGAATATCAATGATGAAGTTGTGAATTTAATTAACGCTAATAGTTATACTTGATGTCTGTTGGTTGGGGATCTGTGAGATGAATCCCGAGAAAAAAACTTTTATTAGCCTACTCGCATACTGTAAAATATAATGGAAAACTATAATAGAAAACTATTTATCGAAGAAACTGAATTTTAATATTGCTGTGAGCCCGCGCGGGTGGGTGATTCTGCCGTGAAGCAGTAATGCGTTTCGGTTTGAAGGGCGGGGCAGCCGCTGTAACTATACTGAGACCTTAGAACTTATATCTCAAGGTGGGTGGAGCATTTACGTCGTAGATGTCTATGGGCTCCAGTAACCACTTAACACCAGGTGGGCTGTGAGCTCGTCCACCCATCTAAGCAATAAAAAAATAAAAAAAAGATAAATGTCACTTACACCATATAGCCATTCATCCCTCTAGATCATAATAATTATACAATTGAGCGCTTGTAACAATAGCTTTATCACTCACAGAGTTCACTATGCATTCATTGAAAATTATGATGCACATAATTCCAATTCAAACCGAATACACAAAATGAAATAAATACATATATAATTTAATGTATAAACATGCGTATGCCAATTACATTTTAAAATTCATACATTTCAATTTACAAACACCAACATTATATTCGTTTTCATATAGACAAACTCAAAATTATGATTATGAAATCATTGCTTTTGTGCTCATGAGATTTACTGAGGTTTTTATCACATTCAGTTACATATACTACCCCTTCAGAGCGCACGCATTGGTTTTCCGTACAACAATTATCAATTTTTCGAGAACATTTACCAAACTTTTACCCTGAGGCGGTAGTAACTGCTAATCAGATGAGACTATTGTGCACTTGTTTGCAATAAATCCAAAAAGTGGTTTTGTTACATCAACAACGTAAACTTTGAGATATAAGTTCAAGTCCCAGTTTCAGTGTCCCAGACGTACAAAGGCTGCCCCACACGTTAAACCGAAACGCATTACTGCCTCATGACAGATTTAGGCAAGGGTGCCTACCCGTGCGGGCTCACAAGACGCCCCACCACGAGCTTACTATACCATAATAATATTGTATTCATCGAAGTGATGTGCAAAATCCACACGCGATATATTCAGCGGCGATAATTCCGGGCCCAGAATAGACAAATGTTCATTACATTGTTAACGTCGATGTTTGTAATTCAATAGCGTGCTCATTAATAACGTCGCCCATAAATCTGAACGGGTTTGCATGATTATAAAATCTCAAATGATCTCGTGGCTAAGTATGTACGTAATGATTACGTGCTAAAATTATGAATACTGTGACGTGATGGATAACATTAAGGCGTGACTTTGCGACATTCCGTATTGTGGGACGGATAAAATCATTCTAACAAATTAAAAAAATAAATACGGCAATATTTAAAAAAAAATGACAGTTTGATATTATAAAGAAAATGGAGAAAAACAAATGATATTTTTATCTTTTTGATATTTGAGAATCTATATTTTTATGTGTTTATTGTCTATATGTATGATAATCAAATGCAAAATGTAGACCCAAAACTGATGAAGTCAGATAAATAAGTCCCAAAAAAATAAACTGAACAGTCCGAATGTTGTTGTTCGTTGTAAATATGCAAGCTTCTCTTGAAAATGTCGCTAGCAAGATTCAGGCATTTTTCAAAATTCTTTTGTTATATGATGGCTACCCGCAATTATAAATAGATAAGAAGATCAATATCTACTGAAAAAGTTTCAAGAACTGAGAGGTTTACTCAGAGAAGTTACTAAAAATGTATTTTCATAAACTCAATATAGAATTATCGTTAACAAAAGACGCGTCATCAAACACCCGCGCTTTACGAGAAAAGCGAAGAGAACAAAATGGCGTAGGTATTCTAAGAAATCCATTTCATATAAAACGCGAGTTTCCGATTGTGATTTCCTTCGAGCAAACATCCTGTGTTAACAATTCTCCGGTAAACGTTAATTTGAGATTCCGTTAATGTCAAACGGAGTAATGCCGTCCTAAGTGCAAACTCGTCGTGAGATTATGAGGCTTTGACTGTGAATTGCATCGGAATTAGGACTGTCCTGCACTAGAACAACTTTATTATAGTAAAATAAATAAAATATAAAAAATATTGTACTAAAAAGTGAAATAGTTACAGTGTTAGGTTTTTAAGTTACATCTATACTTCTATACTAATATATAAATCTACAGTGGTTTTTACGGATCTTCCGTTATAACTACTGAACCACGCATCCGATTGACTTGAAACATAGTATCCATAGAAAATACATGTACTTAATGGATAGACTAATATTTATATGAGTATTGGACTTCCTAATAATAATGACAATAAATAATAATGTTAATTTTAAATGCCCAGCAAAGCGGGCGAGAACGGCTAGTAGATTTTATGTACCTAATGCTTAGGGGCCATCCATAAAGTACGTCACACGAATTTTAGGACTTTTGAACCCCTCCCCCCCTCCTTGTCACAGGTTGTCACATTTTTATAACCCCCCCCTCCTGATGTGATGTCACACATTTTTTAAATTTATGTATGTATTTAAAAATAATCGAGAGAAAACAGCTATTTTCAGCGAGAATGCTAAATTATTAATAAATATAGATCAAGTTTGTAAATTTTTAAAATTTTTAATTCACATACAAACTTTGCGTTTTAGTATTTTAAATTTTAACATGTGACGTCACAAAAGTATTGACCCCCCCATGCCCCTTGTCACACGATGTCACACTTCGGTGATACCCTCCCTCCCCATTAACGTGTGACGTACTTTATGGATGNATTATTAATAAATATAGATCAAGTTTGTAAATTTTTAAAATTTTTAATTCACATACAAACTTTGCGTTTTAGTATTTTAAATTTTAACATGTGACGTCACAAAAGTATTGACCCCCCCATGCCCCTTGTCACACGATGTCACACTTCGGTGATACCCTCCCTCCCCATTAACGTGTGACGTACTTTATGGATGGCCCCTTACTAACAAAATGTTACGGTTTATTTACTGAAATAGAGATACATAATACTAATACCTAATTATAATATTATAATTGTATGTCATTTTTGAACTTTCAGTTTTGGGCTTCAATAATCGGATAGCAGCAGAGGCACCTTGAACTTTCCTGCCCGTTTACGCAAATAATATACTTATATTATGATAACATCTAAATTTTACGCTTACAGCATATATCACGTCATACGCGAATATTATATATTTGGCTGCTAGCCAAATCGTAACATTAAACTGTATCTTATCTCGTTCGATGGTTTTTCAGTGCTGTATATAGAAGGATAGTTCTCATGACCTGGTTGGCTTTAAGTGGTTATCGAACCTTATAGATACATTGATACACACCCACCCATTGAACCGACATTGATACATGAGATAGAAATCTCATTTGAACAGTAAAACGGTAGTCTCATTCTTAAAATTGGAACGCATGATGTTATTCCTTCATCGTGCAAGTCGTTCGCATGTGAAGTACATATTTCTATAGAAATATTTGTAGCTACCTATCTGCAGGGCTTGATGTGGACATTGTCACATTGGGTTAGTTATGTATTTATTCAGTACTAGTGGTCCCGCAGTAGTCGAAATTCGACTATATTTAATTGAAATTATAAGTTTAAACAAGAGAAATTTGATATTTCGTTGTTGAGGTAGACGCGCGTTGCTGTCTAGTAAACATTGGATCCGTAAAAAAATAATTCCATAAAATCGTAAACTCCACAATTACCTATTTAAATTACGTAATTATAACAGTAGTGTTTTAAATCAATACTAAAAATGTTTGTGAAGTAATCAGTGACTAATAAGTGGATGAAAACCAGCCACCAGAGGTTCGTTCAAATCCTCTAAACTTGGATACTTTATACGAATAAAATGTAATTAAAAATTACATAAATATATACAAGAACAAATAAGAATAAAAGTTATCATGAAACAAAACTGGTAATGAAGTGAAATTCTAAATTTAGTGGTGAAATAGTCGTCGAAAATTGCAAGCAGTGACATACATATGAAGTTGAATTGTTATTGTACCCACACTTAAATGTATTCATAAATTCTTAAACTTTTAAACTCCAACATTACTAATAAATAATTTCAACGGCTTAGCACAAGTCATATTAGCTAAGTGGTATCCGTCTTCGGCCGAGCTCAGAGGTTGAAGTGCGCTGGTTCGAATCTGAGTTAACGTAACGTTTTTTGTTTTTTTTTTTTTTTTTCTGGATTGAAGAAATATATTTAGTACAACACGTACGTCAGTGAGCTCAGAGATTAGATAGCGATAGAAAACAAGCGAATGAGTTCGAATAAAATTAAATAATTGGAGATATTTAAGTGGATCGGAATTAGTGAATTAATAAAGAATTTAAAAAAGCGATGAAGTTACGATAGAGATCGAGATTGATCCAAAAAAGTGCANGAGCTGAAACTTACCGCCGGACCCAAATGGAGAAGAGTTGCTCAAGATAGAAAACAATGGAGACTACTGGAGGAGGCCTTTGCCAGAAGGCACACTGAGTTGAGAGACATCTTATAAACAAACAAACCAAAAGATCCAATCACAAAGATAAATCTCACCCAGTTTAAAGGGCTAATTATTATTATTATTATTATTATAAGTTTAAACATTATTATGGTTCTATTGTCAAAAACTATTATATTATAATTCGATAATATAATCACGTATTCGCCAAAACTGCACTATAGATCAATAATATTAAAGACAAACAATATCGATCTATTCTCAATTCGACCACAGACTAAACAATAATAAAAGTTTCACAATTGACAGTAAACAAAGAGTACCTATATTTTTATGTATGTGTTGTGTCAAATACATAGTAACATGTGTAATGCTTTTTTTATTGATTTAATGTGTTTTTTATGCATAATTAAATAAAAATATTAGCATTCTGCACTTCTTCTCTATATTCTCTGTAAGTGTGAGAAATTTCATACTCCGCCGTCCGCGCAATTTTCGTAAAAAGGGGTACAGAGTTTTTGTTTCACGTATTAATATATAGATGAGTACGTCTGCCAACCGCGACTAACAGTGGGCATGTTGATTTCCTCCTAACCAGCGCTTACCTGAGTCATGTCGCGTACTACATCAGCGCCGGCTCGGAGCGCTTTGTGGAAGGTGCGGGTGGCGACCACCGCCCTTCGGAGTTGAACTGATAGCTTCTTGGGAACATCCTCGAAGGGCTGGATCTCACGCATATGTTCGTTCACGCATTTTAGGTATCTATAAAGAAATTAGAGTTATAAGTTTAAAAAAAAAGCAGTGAATGTGTCAATGGGATATACCTACTTATGTGACTATGAAAACAAACAACCGTTCTGAACGCGTACTGGTTTATTACTGGTGACGATTATCATGGAGAACAGTGTCATACATATCACTCAAATTTACTGAATGCGTTATTCAGGCCGTTTATTTTCTTCACATAAGTAGTTACCATGTACACACATGTCACTTTTTAGGTAACGGCTCAAAATAAAATTACTATTTGTTTTAATTATAATCTGCGTAATTACTGGTGATAGGACCTCTTGTGAGTCCGCACGGGTAGGTACCACCACCCTGCCTATTTCTGCCGTGAAGCAGTAATGCGTTTCGGTTTGAAGGGTGGAGCAGCCGCTGTAACTATACTGAGACCTTAGAACTTATATTTCAAGGTGGGTGGCGCATTTACGTTGTAGATGTCTACGGGCTCCGGTAACCACTTAACACCAGTTGGGCTGTGAAATCGTCCACCCATCTATGCAATAAAAAAAATTGCATGATAGAAATTACATTTACAAAGTGTAAACCTATACCATATATAGTGTATAAAGGCGCTCGTTAATATAAACTCGTCGTATAAACGTTCTCGATAGCGTTAAAGTTAACTCAAATTCGTATATAGTTGGAACAGCGCCCCTAGCGGCAAACGTAGGCAAACACTCCAACTCCATACAAATTTCAGATAACTTTTACGCGTTCGAGAACGCTTACAAACTCCCACTAAGCACACAGTATAAGACACCACCTAATAGGAGACAATAAAGCAGTAACTTCACACCCATCAAACGAATACTTAAAGTACATAGTAAGCGAAGTACATAAACACGTGGCCGACATTTGTTTACACCAGCATCGCCGCCGAGTATCGCGAAGAGGATGACTCAATTTCACGGAAGCGCTGACAGACTTGGACAAAGCGGTAAAAATATACTTTCGCAAGGTTTACCTACTCATTCATCATCATTATCCTGCCCTTCTCCCAGTCACCTGGGGTCGGCGCAATATGTTTTCTCCTTCCATACTTTTCTATCATATATCATTTCTTCGCTCACTCCCCTCTTACCCATATCGTCTTTCACATAATCCATCCATTTCTTCTTAGGTCTACTTCTTCCTCTATATCCTTCCACATTCATAGTTAACACTCTCTTACCAACCTCATTTTCATTTCGTCTCATCACATGTCCATACCATCCCAAACGCGCATTCCTCAGCTTCTCTGTCACAGGTGCCACTTTCAGACTTCCTCTAACAGTCTAACAGTCCTCTTCCTCTAAGGTTTACCTACTGCCATGATAAATTCGCTTCTCAACGCCATGATAAATTCGCTTCTCAACGGTTTCAATAGTAGACCTTCGCAGACTTAGTTCTACATATCACAAGTCTATATGTCTCACAGCATTAACATTTGGACATTTACGAATAGTTACAACGAACTTAGATTAGTTAGATAGTTACGAATAGTTGTGACTATACTTGAGACCTTAGAACTTATATCTCAAGGTGGGTGGCGTATTTACGTTGTAGATGTCTATGGGCTCCACGAGGACTCCCAAGAGGACCTGCCGCCAGTAAAAAATTACATTTTCAAAAAATCACATTTCAAATTTTCATTTTCAAATTTCATCATTTATCATGAACAACGCGAAAGATATCCGTGAATATTATGTTCATGTACATCATTTTTCACGAACTTTCTAAACCATCAACGAAGCGTAGCTGTTTGTATACACGAACATTAATCACCAGATAAATTCTTAAGCCGTAATACAAACGCATTGAAATCTGAAACCGCACTGGATAACGTGTGTTTTATGTGCCCGTAACTCCACGATTAAGAGCGATAAATACGACATAAACTGCTCCATAGAAACATTATGATAACATTGTTACTATGGTTTATATAGTAAGGTGGTTAACTTGATGGCGCGCCGCAAAGAAAGAATAACGTCGTTACCTTTTCTTTTCTACCTATTCTGGTAACCTCGAGGGGCTATACCAGCTTCGCCGAGCGAGTCGGTAAGCTCACGGGGCTCTAACCAGTGTGCTTAGTGCGAGTTTTTTAACGTCCTGGGCCTGGGTGGCGCATTTAAGTTGTAGATGTCTATGGGCTCCAGTAACCACTTAAGACCGGGTGGGCTGTGATCTCGTCCACCCATCTAAGCAATAAAAAAAAAGTCATACACTTTTCTGGGACCATTCATGGAATATGCTTCCTGCATGTTATACCGTACCTACTACAATCGCCAACACTAGTTTACTGGTGTAGAGCGGTGGGTTACCACTTTCCCCTTTATTTCTGCCGCGTAACAATTTTTTTAGGATTGAGAGATATTTGGTAGCCTCGAGGCCTTTCCGGTTTCACTAGGGCAAGCAAAGGCTCTGTCAGGAGGGGCGGGATTTGTTAACAGCTGCCCGAGCGCCTCCAAAGGAGACCTAACAACTCAAGAGCAGTTGCTTCGCGAATGAGACGGGTGACTATAGTCACCGATAGTAACGAAAGGGTTCAAATAAGACGTCTACGTCGTCACAACAGTTGTGCTCAAATCAGGATGACTAATTCACAGCAGAAATAGTTAACTACCGGTACCGTCTCATGATATGCCCCACCACCATTTAATAAATGATCCGTCTACACATATATCTGTATATTTAAAATAAATCTTACTTTTCATCGAACGTGTACTGCGAATTAAGTACCGTGAACATCTTCTTGTACAGAATTCCGAAGAAGCTATCCATCATTGCGTCAAAGTTTGTGTCGCCTCGGCTGTAGTACCTGGAAATTAAATGAAAGTGGATAAGTAATAGTGTGTCTATACGAAACGCGAGTAATCTCCTAAGTGGCACGTCGAACTTCTAGTAAGAACAATTGGAAGTGACTTGTGTCTGATAAGCTAAAGGTATTTAAAACTAGTGGAACACGGTCACAATCGACAATATTAATGTCGATAAATGTCTAAAAACTTCAAATTCGTAAAAAAAAAACAGAATCCTAGAAGAATTGGTTTGTACAAAGTTTTATCGTTGACGGATAAACGGCTTAGTAACGCATTTAGGACAAACATACACACTTACAGATATTAATTTTAATATAGATGAAAATTTGCTGTCTTCGAGATGTCTCATTGTTTAAAAATATAATTTTTCGTAAGTACTTTTGTGTCAAATATTATTTATTTCTTATTAAAGTAAAGTACATATTATACTCGTAATAAGATAAAGATATTTTTTTAAAATAAGTCAGGAAGGGAGTCGAAAAACTGAAGTAGTGGCTTTGCAAAAACTTAAGTGCAACTACTATAAAAATTATCTTTTAACGGAGCTTTCAAAATTGTTTAGCATTGAACATTGTTTTCTTTGAAAACGAAAAATGAATGGTTTTTAAGAGCTATCAATTATATTTTATTTATAAGTCTGCTGATTGTATTGTGTTGTGGTAGAACAACGAATTTTATTTATGTAAGTTTCTTATTATTATTAAAATCTCTCTTCGGAATTATATTACGATCCATAACGAACGTGGTCAAATTCCCTTCGAACTGACCACTGGAAAGAATACTGGTCTACAATGATAACAACTCTAGTATCTACACGAATCATAGGACGTTCACCTTCGGTGGCACTAAAAAAGTTTTTAGTAAATTTCATCGCAAATAATGTGGCAACGTTCTTATCTATATATTAATACGTGAAGCAAAAACTTTTTACCTCTTTTTGCGAAAATTGCGGGGACGGAGGATTATGAAATTTCCCCCATTTATAGAGAATATAGAGAAGGAATGCAGAATGTTAATATTTTTTTTTAATTTTGCATAAAAAGATGTATATTAAATCAATAAAATAAAAACATTACACACACTACCATGTATTTGACACACACACGCATACATACTAATTGTTTATTGTCTTTGTCTTAATTTTTCTTAATGCTTATAGTCTTGCTGAAGTAGAGTCTTGGTGAAATCTTTGATTATAGATTTAGTGTTTTTGACAATAGAATCATAATAGTGTACAAACTTATAATTTCAATTGCAGTTATTGTCGAATTTCGATTACTTAGGGCCCACTAGTATTATTAAAATCATCTAATCACCTTTCGAGTTGTTCGAATAACTGTTCAAAGACGTAGGAATGCTGTTCGTAAATCATTCCGTAGGTTCTCTTGAACATCGCGTGGAACTCTTCTCGCGACAGCTTGAGCAGCTTCCTGAAGAATTCTAGAACAAACGAAAAACAAATTAGTAACAATGCGGCAAGACACTGGCGCGATAATCATTATTCGGTTCGTTGATAAAAGATGTTCGTGATCGTTTTGTGAATTTGGACAATTCAATTTCAATTGCTTATTCTTCCCATCAAGTTCCTTATTCGTACTATTTATCTATACGAATATATAAATCTACAGTGGTTTTTACGGATGTTCCGTTATAACTACTGAACCGTGCATCCGATTGACTTGAAACTTGGTATCCATGTAGAAAATACATGTACTTAATGGATAGGCTAATGTTTATATGAGTGTTGGACTCCCTAATAATAATGACAATACATAATAACGTTAATTTTAAATGCCCAGCGAAGCGGACGGGTACAGATAGTTGCCAATAAAATTGAAATGAATTATCAAATCAGTCCAGCCGCTCTCAAATGTTGCGTTTACCAATATACAGCAATTAATTTTATTCACATCGGGTATTTTTATAGAAAAAAAAAAAACGGCACGTGTTAAAAGACCTCATTTATTTGTGAATCTAAATCGCAATATCAATAATAATTATTTTTATGAGCAAATAAAATTATTCGTATCGGATTATTTATGATTTAAATGTAAAATGCAATCGAATGAATGACATGTGACTGTTAACCAGCGCACGAAGGTCAACGAACATATATTTCGGTCCATTCGATAGGATATTTTATTGTCACCAAAATCAGAATAGTTTACAGACCCTTAGAGAATTTACTAGTGCTGGGCGTTATTTATTTTTTATTTATTTATTTTTTATTTTCTTAGTGCTTAGATGCGTGGACTAGCTTACAGCCCACCCGGTGTAAAGTGGTTACTGGAGCCCATAGACATCTACAACGTAAATGCGCCACCCACCTTGAGATATAAGTTCTAAGGTCTCAGTATAGTTACAACGGCTACCCCACTCTTCAAACCGAAACGCATTACTGCTTCACGGCAGAAATAGGCGAGGTGGTGGTACCTACCCGTGCGGACTCCCAAGAGATCCTACCACCAGTAAACCCGCTTGCCCGCTCGTATCTCCACCCTGGCTATTTCTGCCGTGAACCACAAATCCGTTTAGGTTTGATGCCCTTGTACTACAAAATCGAAATAGAGGACTCTAGTTGCAACTTAATACCATTGTATTACAAAATGGAAACACAGGACTCCAGTTGCAACTTAATAAGAGGTGAGCCGTGAGTTTCTACACTCATCTGAGCTAATTAATGATAATGAATGGATATGTCGCGAATCCGAACGCGAACCTGCAATGCCAAAACCACAGCTAATTTCAAATAATTCAAACCGCCGATGAACACAAAGAAAAATTTCAAAGCATCAAGAAGCATATTGAGGAAAATGGTTTGATTCAATAAGAACATTCTCGGGAATGCTCCCATAAATATAATTATAAATATCAACATAAATTGAACATTACTATGAAACGCCAGCGAAAAGTTCTTAGAAAGATATACTCGTATAAGCAATAGGGCGCTGACATGTCACTAGCAAAAATAAGTGTGATGCATTATTTAATGTTCTAGATGAGTAAACGAACCGTGACGGCCGGTGAAAAGTGACGTCTATAAACATGATAAAGTGGATTCAGACACGCATCTTAAGATTTGAGGTCGAAAAGGCTATCTCATGCTTCGGATTAGGAGAGTTAGGTACACCTAAGCCAAGATACATTCTACCAGTAGGATTTTGCCGCCAACGCGATGGAAGAAGATGAGCGCCTTTTTTTTATTCCTTCCTATGCCTTGAGAGGCTATTTCAGCGTAACTTTAACTGGTTAAAGGTGAAAGGTGGTAAGGTGGAAAGGTGGTAAAGGTGAGTTCACGGGGCTCAAATCTGACGATGTTGCTAACACGAACCCTAGCAAGTGCCGTGCTTCGCAGAATCTACCACCGGATCGGAAACGCTACCCACTGAGAAGATCCGGCGAGAAACTCAGTGTGCTGTCTCTGAGGGTTAATTTACTCACCGAGCCCTCGACGGGTTCGACGAGAACCGACCGGTGCTTGAGGTACCTAAAAGCACCGTTAGTGGATCGGGAGGATCCGAAATGACGTGTTTTGGGCGACGTCGACTGCTTTCCATTCTGTACGCAGGATCGGGAATAGAAGAGCGCCGCGCAAATCACATCACACAATAACCTTGAACAAGTTGTATCTCAAGCGAGGTTCAGATGCGGAGTGTTGAGTAATAGGAGATTTTAGGTGATCCGACCACAAAATACTCGCTTTGATTATGCTTTCGCATTTTTCTTGGAATTTAAGGATAAAAACTATGATCACTATAATTAGCCCCCACTCAAGTTCGTATATATTCACAGGATTCCTTCAGTTTGATCTAGCTCACTCGCCGGATCTTCTCAGTGGGTCGCGTTTCCGATCCGATGGTAAATTTTGCGAAACACTGCTCTTGCTAGCGCTAATGTTAGCAACGTCCTTAGGTAAGAGCCCCATGAGCTCACCTACTCGTTTGGTGAATCTATCATGACCCCTCGAGGTCACTAGAATAAGTAGAAAAAGAAAAGAAAAAAACTTGAGTAGGCTACAATAAACTAATAATAAAACAATCTAAAAAGTTTCGTATTTATTCAATATTGTAACACAGAAATATGTATTACAACAAAAGGCACAATAAATGGTATGAATGGTATAATGACAACGAAAAATAACAACATTCATAAAAAAAATAATGAAAAAATGTTTATAATAGTTTTTAATTAAACCAGAACGATAATTAAATTATACCGTGTTTTCGTGAAACATTCCGTGTTATTGTACGATCTGTGGTTGATTCGTTTTTATTTCAACCTCAAATGATGTCACTAGTAATGAAGATTTGTTCAGTTTGGTTCTATAAAGCTCGTGCGACAATTTTGAAAACTAAGACTCGTCCGATTGCGGCATTGCAATAACGGCTTGTTTATGTACAGAAAATAGGGACGCCCAAGGAGTAACAATGACTCCCTTCGTAAAGGTAACGGGCAGACCTGAGGGGGATGAAGACCTTTTTTTTTTTTTTTTTTTTTTTTTATCCTACCTAAGCTGATAGCCCTAGCGGCTATTTCAGCGTAACCCTAACTTTAGTAGGTGAGCTCACGGGGCTCAAACCTGACGATGTTGCTAACACGAACCCTAGCAAGAGTTGTGCTTCGCAGAATCTACCACCGGATCGGAAACGCGACCCACTGAGAAGATCCGGCGAGAAACTCAGTGGGCTGTGTCTGGGAGTTAATTTACTCGTCGAGCCCTTCGTCGCAAGCGACGGGTTCGACGAGAACGGTGACCGGTGCTTGAAGTACCTAAAAGCACCGTTAGTGGATCGGGAGGATCCGAGATGACGTGATGAAGACCGTGTGGAGCTCTATCAGCAGTCTAGCGCGCCACTCAGTAGTGACGTCATAAGAGCGATCGGTTTTTGGTGTATCGCATCCTGAACCGGCAGGCTGGGTCCGACCCATCCGAATAGCTCACGACACCAGCGGCACTGCCTGGGCAGTCTGATCTGTCGCCGTACCAAGAAGGCAGATGTTCCACAGCCTGGCCTGACGTGAGCCGTGCATCTGGGTGCAGTACTGATCGGAGCAACCGCCTTACTCCGGGCCGGATACTGATCTCGAGGAAAATAGGACGCTTGGGTGAGCGTGCAGGGGAGTTTAGTGGGTAGGGCCCTAAATCTCGCCATCTGCAGACGTTTATTCCTAGACCGTCTAGTCACGCGCGCCTACTGGGCGCGGGGAGTTCTAGGAGCTTCGGCCCCTAGCCCAGAAACAAAAAGGCAGTGACAACAAGCTAGCTTACCCACGTAGAATCTGTATCCCTGACGTGCGTTCAAACCGCATCACTTTAAATTACAATTATCAAAGCTTCGTCGCTGACGCCCTCATGAAATACCATATCATAACCATTAATATGCACGTAAGACAGAAAACGGCTATTCATTAAACAATTAATATTTTGGAACGCACAGAACAAGAAACGGAATGTTGCCAGACAGTCGTAAACTGCGTTCCGAAGAATGTAATTCTGTCGTCGTTTGAATATTAATATGATAATCGTTTTCATTCACGATAATCGTAAAACATTATGCAACTTTTGTCTGTGATGATACGGCAGTCGGCCGATCTAATTCATTGGTCAAGCATTTCGTTGTCTGACGTCAAAAGCTAATAAACGGTCGGCTTCGGAGATAAAGTTATACCTTGGCAACTTCGAACCTATAATACGAGACTTTCTTAGTAAAATAATACCCATCTTATTTACCAGCTTCACTCAAAAAATATTACCCGCACTGACTTGAAGATTTCAGGCCTACCACTTCCAAGTTAAGAGTTTCCGGTCGATAATACCGAAAAGAAACGAGACAAGAAGATCTACATCCAGAACCGGATTCCGTTTATTTCGTTTCCGTATCCCGTAATAGAATGTACATATGTGTTTTATATGGCATGTTTCATGGGCAGATCTCTGGGGAACCATTTGATGTGACACCGTTATTTTAATTTTCCCTCGCCACTAGTAATCGGATCAGAGTTTATTAATGTTTCCTCACATCCACTGTGCTGTACATTGCTTTTTCAAGTGAACATTTTTGCCATGTACCATCCGACTCCAAAACTCTGCTGTACCCAAATTGGTCCCAGAATTCCGGAAATTTGTTAGACCGGTTGAGAAAATCAAGAAGTGCTTTACGGCGACACAAATTTGGTAATAATGGATATGGTATGACATCCTATTTCAAGAGGTTGGAAATGAGACCTCAGTGGTAGGCAGAAAGCTGTACCCTTAGTATTGTTAATGTTCACGGCCTACGAGGATTATTGAGCATCATAAGAGTCGCATGTTTGTGTACCAACAAAGATTTTTTTTTAATGAAGCTATTTCTTGGGGCCCGGAGGTTGTTCATTAGGATGAGTAGGCGACTTCGAAAATTCAACCACAAGGGGTAGTTGCTGCACTGTTTTGGCAAATG